CAAACATAAGCTCATATCGTTACACAATGGTCCCTAGGAAGAACCTGGGGCGAGGGTCCAGTGGCTGGAGACGCACCCGGCGGGCCAGGGAAGCGCGCCGTGGCTCTCTCCAGGCCCCGCGCAGTCGTTGGGCGGCCAGCGCTATGGCTGGGGCCTGGGGGCGCGCCAGCAGGGGCGGATGAGGTAAGGCCGGCAGAGTCCGAACCCGCCACCCCAAAAAGATACCACAGGCTGCGCAGTCCAGGCCGTGGCAGCCGAGGGAAGGGCGGCGGGGCCGTGACCCGCCTCCCCGAGCGCAGTTGGGGTGTGCCGCCAGGCCAGCGAGGCCAGGGGTTGCGCAGGGAAGGCGGGTGGAGGCGCCCACCCAAGAAGGGCCTGTGGCCTGGCTGGGCGAGGGCGCGGTGGCCCAGGGAACCGTGGTGCCGCTGTTTTGCTGCCTCCCCGAGCGCAGTCGGGGCACGCGTTAGGGCAGCAAGGCGGGTGCAGGGAAGGGCGGCAGAGACCAACCCCCCCCAGAAGGGCTCGCGGCCTCCCTGGGCCAGGCTACGGCGAGTGAGGGAAGTGTGGCACTGCCAGTCTCCCTCTGCCCCATGGTGAGTCAGGGTGCGATGGCGGGGGCAGCGCAGGGAAGGGCAAACGGCCCCCCGGAAGATGGGCCAGCGGTGTCCATGGGCCAGGCTGCGGTGGCCCAGGGAAGTGCGGCACGGCCCTCCTCTCCCATCTGTGACCGTAGTCGGGGCGTGGTGGTAGGCCAGCGAGGCCGCTCACCCGCCTCCCCCACACACACACCAGCATCCAGGCACCGCAGCGTCCTTCCCGTCCAGCGGCTTCCTGGACACTGCAGGTGAGCGGCTGGCCTGGGGCTGTGTGGGCAGGAGTGAGCCAAGCAGCCAGGCAACTTAGCCAGTGGCCCGGGACCCGTGTGTGAGTGGCAGGTTAGCCAGCGAACTGATTTTGCCGCGCATTTATCCTGCCGCCCCATAGGCCAGAAGCCACCCCAACTGGCTTTTATATATAAGGAGAGATTGACTTCATTTATACCCCTTTCCTCCCCAAAGGAGAACCAAAGTGGATTACATTGTTCTCCTCTCCTCCCTTTTGCCCTCACAACAACCCTGTGAGGTAGGTTAGGCCGAGCGAGCATGGCTGGCCCGAGGCTACCCAGTGAGATTCAATGGCTGCCGAGATCTGAACCCAGGTCTCCCAAACCCTAGTCCGGCACTTTAACCACTACCCCATGCTGGCTCTAATAAACGGACGGTTCCCCTTTTCGCTCCCGCTTCTCACACCCACCAGCGTCTCTCTATCTCTCCATCTGTCGGGACGGGCCCTGATTAAAATTCAGACATTGAGAAAAAAGCCTCTCTCTTCCCCAGCCGGCACATTCAAAACAATTTTACAAGCCCACTCCATTTAAATCATTCTTGATTTAATGTAAACAAGTGCAAAAAATAAAAGCCGGGCGCGATACCAAGTGCCTGGCTATACAGACGCACGCGTCGATGCTGTTCGCTCCCCCCCTTTTTTTCCAATTTCCCTCGTGCTTCTTCCCCCCCCCCTTGGTTTTCATATGCTTTCCGAGTCCCCACCCCTTTTAAATCTAAAACAAAACCTTTCACCCTATGGCAGGCAAAAAGGGGGCTTGTCGAGAGCTGCACCGCCACCTGGTGGACAAGAAAATGTTCACATTGGGGGCCTGCCCGTAAAAGGGTTTTGAAAACAAACTCCGGTAGCACAGGAACCCTACAAAAACCTCACAAGGAACCATTTTGCCAACTCCTGGTCAGAAACACGGAGGCATCCTGTGACTTTCACAGCTGCTAGGGCAGGAGGATTTTTAACCAGTACAATGGTGGTGGTAGAAATGGTGGTGGTAGAAAGAAACTTGCAGCTGACTCTTGGTGACCCAAGAAGAAATACACAAACCTTCGGGCTGTCCCTTCCCGATGCCACATTCTACCCCGACTCAGCCAACATCCACAGATCACTTGGCACAGGGTCGCTGCTGTTTTTCTAGCAAGGCCCTTGTACCACAACACTGTTGTCAAACCGGCAGAAATCCAACAGGTGAAGTTTCCCCTTCCTGCACGCCAGAGTGGAAGAGAAGGGAAGTTTGCCGACGGGCCGTAACATCTGCTTGTTGTTAAAAGCGAGGCGGGAAAGCGACAGCCCATGAGAGAATTTCTGCTGGCTTTCTGAGCGGCCTGATTTGTGGGTCACATTGGCCCACTGGACTTCATAGTCGGCGAGCCACTGAGGCTCTGAAAATAGCGGTTAACAGCTTGAGGCCCAAAGGCCGCAAAGAGCAGTGAGGCGGGACAGAGGGCCAACATAACTCAGGTTCGGCCTGCTCTGGAAGGCTTCGAGTGGGAGACCGACACTTCCTGTTTCCAGCGCCAGCGCTGGGTGTTGCATCCCGAATCAGAGCCCTCCAAAGCAAATACAAATTCAAATGTGCCTGTCAAGATAAAAAAAGTCTGTCAGCTACTGATTCGAAAGCACAAATGTCCTGCCAGGATGAAGACAGCATTCCCGCACAGAGCCCAAAATCAGTTGTGGCAGGCAAGTTATCTTTCTGGATCATTATCATTTTCCTTATCGAGGAACCTTGGTAAAGTATGGACAAACCCAGGGTTCTCCATAACATGGTTCAAAAATTACTCCCGTAACCCTTCTGGGGAGGAGCCATCAAGCTTCCTGGGGCAGAAGGTTCTTCTTTCCCCCTCAGAAGTGGAGGTGGCCAAAGAGCGGCCATTTTGCTGAGGACGGAACTAGACACAACACCTAGACTTCTCCTAAAACATTCTCGTTTAGGCCTCCTGTGGTAAAGTCTAGTCCCACAAAACATATAATCAAAGGAAGGAAAACAGGTGGCACCATGGCACCGCATCATGGGTTATGTAGTACTTCAGTGACACAAATAACTGGTGGAGATGTGGAGTCCCATTTCCAGTGGAAGTCCCGCATCACCTGTCATGTCTAGTTTCAAGCAAAGGTTTCCCAGGCTGATATCTGGTTGTTCCTCAAGGCATTACAGCCATGGCAACAGTCTGATCTTGCCAAACCAGGAAGGGATGAGGCCATTCCACAACTAGATCCAGGTGCTGAGGAAAAGCTCAGAAAAATGAATGAGTTGCTACCGAGCAGATGGCGACAAAAGCCATCACACTGGTTTTGAAGCAGTGTTGATTCCTTCTTGAAAGGCAGGAGGGGGCATATGCTGCCACAAAGATCACCATTTACTCCCCCAGTCAAGCTTCATTCTGTCATTCCCAAGCACGGTAGGTTTTGACTGTCCTGGAAAACAGGCCTCAGTCTTTCCCATTGTGGAGTCCACATGAGCAAACGGCAGCAAAAACTATCCCTTGGCCCCCACGGATACGAGCGCTGAGGTCGTGCGTCACTCGCGAGTCCTAGCTCTTGATTTTCAGTTGCAATAGTTTGAACAAGCCGAACTTGACTTTTTTCTTTTCACCTTCCTGGTTGCTACGGGACACATCTATGGAGGAAGGGCAGGGGGAAATTACAAACTATTTTTAAAAAGCAAAGTTAACAACAAGGAGGTTATAAATCCAGTTTTCTGACCACAGAGAGAGTGAAGCCGCCTTCGAACCCCCTGTCTGTTATACCAGGGTTCCCCAGCCTTTCTCAGAAACTCTCAGTGTTCCCCAACCTTTCCAAGTCATTCTTGTAGAGAGTAATCTCAACAAATCTACTAAAAAATATGCCCACTCTTTGCCACAGCCAGCATGGGTTCAAGGCCACCGCCTTATAGGATACGGTCTGATGGACCATCTTCTCCCATAAGTTCCTGCCTGGGAAGTAAGATTTATTTATTTATTTATTTCGATTTATATTCCACCTTGCCAGCGCAAGCTGGCTCAAGGCAGCATAAAGTAAAGGTAAAGGTTCCCTTGCTCGAAAGCCAGTCAAATTCGACTCTAGGGTTGCGGTGCTCATCTCCGTTTCAAAGCCGAAGAGCCAGCGCTGTCCGAAGACGTTTCCGTGGTCATGTGGCCGGCATGACTAAACACCAAGGCACACGGAACACTGTTAGCTTCCCACTGAAGTGGTACCTATTTATCTACTTGCAATTTCTTGCTTTCGAACTGCTAGGTTGGCAGGAGCTGGAACTAGAGATGGGAGCTCACTCCATCATGCGGCACCCGGGTCTCGAACTGCTGAACTACTGACCTTCCACAGCCTGCAGTTCAGCGTCTTAACCACTTGAGCCACCACAGTTCCTGACCAAGGCAGCATACAACAAGTTAAATACAATAAATACAATAAAATACAGTAAGATTTCACATAAACGAACAATTTACATAAAGTGCAAGTAAGTATAGATGGCGAATTGCTATGAGATGGTCCAATGTAGGAAGGCCAATATCCAAAGTTGTAACATGAGGGCCGTAAGATGTTCAATAGCTCATTCGTCAGTGGCGGTTCCTAATCGAAGGCCTGGGGGAAGAGCTCCATTTTAAAGGCCCCGCGGAACTGTAAGAGGTCCCACAGGGCCCTGATGTCTTCCGGGAGCTCATTCCACCAGTGTGGAGCCCCCACTGAGAAGGCCCTGGCTCTGGCCAGTCTGACGTCTTTCGGACCAAGGAGAGTCAGGCAATTTTGTGACCCTGACCTCAGTGCTCTCTGGGGGACATATGGGGAAAGGCGGTCCCTCGGGTAGATCACAAGGAGAGGCCCTCCTGACCATCCCATCAATCAAAGAAGCGCCTTTAGTGGGTACACAAAACAGGGCCTTCTTGGTGGCAGCCCCAAAATTATGGAACAACCTCCCAGGGAGGTGCGCCTGGCCCCCTCTCTTTACATTTTTAGAAGGCCATTGAAGACAGTTTTATTTAGGACTGGATTTGATCAAAGCAGTCCTAAATTGTGGTTTTAATTTTTGATTTTTTAAATGTTTTATGTAATCTATTTTACGTATTTTATTGCTATTGTACCCCACCTGGAGCTCTGTAAGGAAGAAAGGCAGCGAATCAATATTTAAATAAGTAAATGGAACAAAATAAGTCTCTCTTCCCCCACAGCGGCCCAACGTGGCTAGAATCTAAAGCTTTAAAGTGGGGAGAAAATGCACGAAGGAACCCCCACCCCTCAAAAAAACAAGTATTTTGTGAGCATTTTGCAATTCTCTGATCATGCGCCACACAATTGCCAGAATTAGTACTGGTGTAAGAAAACAGCATCCCGGGAATTTCCCACAGGGGTCTCCGGATCTACTGCGCAAAGGGATTACCGAGTTTCCGGATCAGGGCAGCCATCTCTTTGTCCTCCTCCAGCTCCCTACAGAAGGAAGGAAAAATAGTTAGAGAAGGGCCCCATGCTGCCGAAGTTTCAAATACTTGGCTGGAAGCAGCAAGAGAAACACGTGCCAGGCTTTGAAACTCTTGGCATCGTGAGAACGTAAGAACAGCGCCTCCACAAACTGGGTGAGTGGGTGACCATGTGGCAAATGAAGTTCCGTGTTGGTAAGTGTGAGGTGATGCACATTGGGACAAAAAGATATCCCAACTTCAAGGCTAGGCTAATGAGGTCTGACCTTGCCGAGAATATTTCCACAGTGGTGAAATTCCCCACGTTGACGTTTTTAAAACGACACGTTACATGCAATTTTCCGCAGTAGATTTTTCCTCACCGAGTTCTCCTCCTTACCCTACGTCTTCGGAACTCACTAAAACTGGGGGTTTCAAAAATGCAGGGTAAGGAGGGAAAAACTTCGTGCTTGTGCCAGGTGAGGGAAAATCTACTGTGGAAAATGTCACAACACGCAGTTTTAAAAACGTAAGTGCGGGGAATGTCACTAGTGCGGAAATGGTCCGAGACTGAAAGGGGAAAGGACCTCGGGGTCGTAGTGGATAACTCAATGACTCATGACATTGGCCAAGCTCAGCTAAGTGGGATCCTAGCTACCACTGGGAGGAGCATATTATTTCCCCAGTTCTCCAATCAAGTGTTGACAACTGCTGGAACTCGTATTGGCCAAAGAATTCCGATCTGGCAGATTTCTGGGTTAATTCCCCATCAGATCTCCTTCTCTTACGGCTAAGGGTGAATCAGAATGGCTGTACAGCAAGATAATTGCTAGTGCACTGCAAGAAATAAATCAATTTTTTAAAAGGTTCAGGTGAGCTTTCACCAAAAAAGAGAGAGAGAGAGAGGCTGCTTATTGTATCCCTGCATGATGTATTATTCTGGGCGTAATCTGCCACCAACTGGGGTAGATAATTTTGCCACAGCTCTGTGTATTGTACTACAAGAGCAATTGTTGCCAATCCAGGGAAACAATAAATAAATCCAGGGAAACAATAAGCAGAGGTCCATCGGTGGCTATTAGCCACAAGGTATAGATAGGGACTCTTGGGCAAATGATGCTCTGTATTTTTGGTGCTTGGGGGGGAGTCAATAGTGTGAGGGCTTCTGGTGTCCTGGCCCCACTGCTGGACCTCCTGTTATTACCTGGTATTTTTGGCCACTGCGTGACAGAGTGTTGGACCGGATGGGCCATTGGCCTGATCCAACATTGGCTTCTCTTAAGTTCTTATAAATTACCTAGCTCCCTGAGAATAGATTGTTTACTGCTAATCTGAATGAGTCTCAGTTCTAGGCTTGCGTCCCTCCAATCACAAAACATGCCTGGATCAGTGATTCTTGCAAGGGGTGCCCTCTTCTGAGGGCAAGGATTCCCTGCCCCAAAAGAGTCTGCCTGCGGCACCACTGCACGATCTCTGTCCAGGTTTCCTTCCAGTCAGTCTTCAGCGAGGGTAGGCAACTCCGCCATGTTTCTACCATGACCGGATCATTCAATCACACCCAGTGCAGAGACACAACAGAATGACTTGGCCTCAGAAGACAGACACCCTTTGTGCCTCTGTATGAGTCACAGTTCTGCCTCTTCCCAGGCTGACCAAGACATGCAGAGACATAGGAGATGGGTAAGGCAAAGGTTTCCCTTGCTTGAAAACCAGCTGAATCTGACTCTAGGGTCTGGTGCTCATCTCCATTTCCAAGCCGAAGAGCCAGCGCTGACCGAAGACCTCTCCGTGGTCATGTGGCTGGCATGACTACCCTGTTTCCCCGAAAATAAGACCTACCCCAAAATTAAGCCCTAGCAGGATTTCTATGCATTTGTGGTATAGGCCCTAGTGTGTCTTCTTGAGAAAAAAATAAATCTAAGACAGTGTCTTATTTTCGGGGAAACACGGTAAATGCCAAAACACACGGAACGCTGTTACCTTCCCACCGAAGCAGTATCTATTTATCTACTTGCAATTTCTTGCTTTCGACCTACTAGGTTGGCAAGAGCTGGGGCCAGAGACGGGAGCTCACTCCGTCACGCGGCACTTGGGTCTCAAACTGCTGAACTACAGACCTTCCGGTCGGCAGTTCAGCCTCTTAACCCCTGAGCCACCGCAGCCCAGGAGACGGGTAGGTAATCGTTAAGTTTTAGCTTTCAGATATAAGCATGAAACAGTGTCTTCAAGTCTAAAATCAGAATGCACACAATTCTTCCGCTAGCCGCGTCCTGCCTATGTTTTCTTCCCCACCTGCCTAGTTGCCACACCCTCTCACAGCATTCATCCACCGCGAAACGGCAGCCAAAAGCTACGAAGGCCCTTAATTGCTCCTGTATACTTGCCAAGAAGTCGGACCCTACGAACCGTGTTTGGCAGGGGGAGACGACGGAAAACTCATTCAAGGGGCCTGCTGGCCCCTCATGGGAAATCCAGAGGTCAAGGAGATGCTCCGATCTGTACGGGGTCTCCATTAGGCAGCCTCACCTTTATTAAGGAGAAGCCGCTGGAGAAACATGAGAATAAAGAACTGGGGAGGGGGAGGGGGAGAGAGAGTCAAATTCACTTTCCTAGTTGATGACGTTCTCCGCGAAGGGAGGATAACCTGGCAGAGGCGTTGTAGCCCAGCGGCCGAGTGCATGCATAAGGTTAGAGGCCCAGTCCCCAGTACTTCCGGGGCCTAAGACAGCTGTACCATAATTTGAATTCAAAGTTACAATTGCTTGTAGTTCCTCGTTGACAGTTGTGAGTGGTGGAAAGTGCAATCAAGTCACAGCTAACTTATGGTGACCCCATAGGGGCTGGATCTGACATAAACGAGACCTTGTTGGGCCGGGGCCACGTGTGTCGTAATGCCAGGTAGCGGAGATATCAACTTTATAAAAGGACACAAACACAAAGGGTTGGGGTTTTTTTTACTTAAAATGAAAACATGCTTAAAACATTAGCACTCTTGCGATATTTTGTTTATTTAACAGTGTCTGATAACTGACACCTCTTGCTCTGAATGACTGCATCAAAATGCCTGTGCTGTTGCAATCTTGAGTATGCTGTTCAGGTGTGTATCTGTTAGCTGCAAATCTACGATGACGCGGCAGCAGAACTGGAAGAAGAAGCAGAAGGCAGCCAGTTCCACTGTGGGCCTGATAGAAGCCCTCCGGGGGCCTGATCCGGCCCCTGGGCCACATATTTGACACCCCTGCCATAGGGTTTTCAAGGCAAGAGACATTCAGAGGTGGTTCGCCATTGTCCGCCTCTGCGTAGTGGCCCTGGACTTCCTACATGGTCTCCCATCCAAGTACTAATCAGGGCTGACCCTGCTTAGCTTCTAAGAAATGATGAGATTGGGCTTGCCTGGGCCTTCCAGGTCAGGGCAAGAGACAAACAGAGTTGGTTTGCCATTGACGGCCTCTGTGTAGCCACCCTAGACTGCCCTGGTGGTCTCCCTTCCAGTATGGTGTCATGGTTAAGTGCGCAGACTCTAATCTGGGAGAACTGGGTTCGATTCCCCACTCCTCCACTCACAGCTGCTGGATGACCTTGGGCAAGCCATAGTTCTGTCAGAGCTGTTCCTGAAAGGGCAGTTTCTCTCAGAGCTCTCTCAGCCCCACCTGCCTCACAGGGTACCTGTTGTGGGGAGGGGAAGGGAAAGGAGACTGTAAGCCACTCTGAGACTTCGAGTGAAGTATATAAATATACGTATAAATCCAATCTCTTCTTCTTTTCTTCTTCCATGTACTAACCAGGGCTGAGCCTGCTTAGCTTCAGAGATCCAGTGAGATTCCGCTAATTGAGGCCTTTAAGGTCAGGGCAAAAGACACAGAGAGATGGTTTCACCATTGCCTGCCCTCTGCACAGCAACCCTAGACATCCTTGGTGGTTTCGCCATCCATGTACAAACCAGGGTTGGACCTGCTTAGGTTCTGAGATCTGATGAGATCTAGCTAGCCTGGTCCATCTGCTGACCCTGGGTCATCCCTTAAAGGCGAAAACACTTATTTCAGCATGAGCTTTCGGGGGACACAACCCACTCAATCAGACGGAAATGTGATGGGAAATTCTACTGTGGAATTTTACTGAAACAGCCACAGTAGTGATCGTAAATAAGGGGTGCTTCCAGAGCTGAGTGCCAGCTTGGTGGTAGTGGTTAAGAGCGGCGGACTCTAATCTGGAGAACCGGGTTTAACTCCCCACTCCTCCACATGCAGCCAGCTGGGTGACCTTGGGCAAGCCACAGTTCTCTCAGAGCTGTTCTCTCAAGAGCAGTCCTCAAAAGAGCTCTCTTAACCCCACCTACCTCACAGGGTGTCTGTTGTGGGGAGAGGAAGGATATTGTAAGCTGCTCTGAGACTCTGAGTGGAGGGCAGGGTATAAATCCAACTCTCCTCCTCCTCCCTCTTCTGTGTAGTGGTTAAGAGTGGCAGACTCTAATCTGGAGAACCGGGTTTAACTCCCCACTCCTCCACATGCAGCCAGCTGGGTGACCTCGGGTCAGTCACAGCTCTCTCAGCCCCACCGACCTCACAGGGTGTCTGTTGTGGGGAGTGGAAGGGATTGGTGATTGTAAGCTGCTCCGAGACTCCTTCAGGTAGTGAAGGGCGGGGTAGAAAACCAATTCTTCTTCTTCTTCTCCGCCTCCTTTTAATACCTAGTGGAGCCCAATGAACCTGCCCTACACTCAGAGGTCTACTATGATCAGAAGTGGTTCAGGGACTTAGGTTTTCCCATCACTGACTACCAGTGTTCCCTCTAAGCTGAGTTAGTGTGAGCTAGCTCACGTTTTTTTAGCCTCTGGCTCACACATTTTTGTCTCAGCTCAGGAAGGATGGCCCCAGAGCAAACTAATTTATGCAGTAGCCAAATCATTTGCTCACAACTTTAATGCCAGTAGCTCACAAAGTAGAATTTTTGCTCACAAGACTCCACAGCTTAGAGGGAACATTGCTGACTACCCGATTCTTTAAACTGGAGACACTGAGGACTGAACCTGGGACCTTCTGCATGCCAAACAGGTTCTCTACCCTTGAGCCAGGTAAACCACCATCATCGGGATCTAAACCCCTGTGCTTGCTTTCTTCTATCCCCCTGAGATCAGGAGAGCTTCAGGATGTCTGTTGCCCCACCTGATCCGGTCCTCGTCCAAGTTCTCTACAATCTCGTTCCGACCGTCGATGATGGCCAGATAAGATTTAAGCAGCTCTTCCTCTTGGGCTTTGTCCTTGGGGGTCTTCAGGGATTCTGCACGGGAGAGGAAGAAACCAGACACAACACGGTCATCTCTATCGACGGGCCTGAAACAGCCCCCACTGGTGGACGGTGAGGATTTCAAGTGAAGGGGACTTGGGTGGGGTTTACTGTCTGGTTCTGGATTCCTGCGGAAGCAGGAGGAGGGGAAAGGGGGGGGAAACACGAGGCAGGGAACAAAAACAGAACAAACCATTGTAAAGGAGCAAGAAGAAGCAGAGAAGAAGATCAGGGAAGACAGGAGGAAGAAAGAAACCGGGAGGAGTAGGGGACAAGGATTACGGGAGGAGTAGGGGGCAAGGAGGAAGAAAGAAACCGGGAGGAGTAGGGGGCAAGGAGGAAGGGAGAAGCCGGGGGGAGGAGGGGGCAAGGAGGAAGAAGGAAACTGGGAGGAGTAGGGGGCAAGGATTATGGGAGGAGTAGGGGGCAAGGAGGAAGAAGGAAACGGGGAGGAGTAGGGGGCAAGGATTACGGGAGGAGTATGGGGCAAGGAGGAAGAAGGAAACCGGGAGGAGTAGGGGGCAAGGATTACGGGAGGAGTAGGGGGCAAGGAGGAAGAAGGAAACCGGGATGAGTAGGGGGCAAGGATTAGGGGAGGAGTAGGGGGCAAGGAGGAAGAAGGAAACCGGGAGGAGTAGGGGGCAAGGATTCTTCTAGTTGCGAAGGACAGGTGCACAGAAGTAACTACGGAGGAGGAAATGAGGAATGTTTGTCCTAAGAGGACTTCCTTTAGGCAGGTCCAAGGAATCCAAGCCATGGTTATTCGGGCTCTTTTTTGAAATTTCGGCATTCGGTTCTCTCGGTCTGCTGCGACCGGGGTTTCGCGACTACTTTAATTACATTTCCTCAAGACAGCAGGAAAGTGTTAGACAGAAGTACACTGAGTGGAATAAATAAAAGGAAGAAAGTTATATGCAAACACACACACACACACACACACCCCTGAAGAAGAATCCTAAAAATATATTCTCATGGAAAGATACAACCAAAAGACCCACCGGGTTTATTCATGAGGTTCCGGAGCTCGGTCTCGATGTTCCACTGCTTCTCCTCTAGTTTCTGTTGTCTTGACCTGTTTTGCAAAAAAAGGAGGGAAAGGGAAAGTGGTTAGACCACTGGGATTTGAACTCAGTTCACCCTAGAAGATTGGCGGCAACCCACCAGACCACTCGAAGGAGCCTCTTTTCTGTACTGTGTGTGGAGAACGGGTTGAAGCCAGGACTCTCTGTCTGGATGACAGCCGCTCTCCTACTGTGATGCCTTGACCTAGAAAGCCCAGGGTAGCCCGATCCCATCAGATCTCTGAAGCTGAGCATGGTCGGCCTTGGCTAGTATTTAGAAGGGCAACCTCCAAAGAATACCAGGGTTGTGACGCAGACACAGGCAACGGCAAAGCACTTCTGAAATGTCTCTTAAAAACAAGTCTAGTTTGCCACCTAGTGGTGCATAATACTAAAAGAGCTAGAACTTCTGGCTGCCAGACAATCTTAGGATCTCCTGGCTATTCTACACACAATGCCATACAATAACGTCAACAATAACAACAACAATAATAATCCTACTGTGATAAAGACTCTGATTTCTACCTTGTATCTGATGGAGGGGGCTCTGACGTTCAAAAGCTTATGCTTCCAAAATCTTCTTGGTATCTAGGATACTACTGGTCTCGAAACTTGCTCTTCTCCTGTAGACTAACATGGCCAACCTCTGAAACTATTTGCATTCTCCCGGAGCAGATTACTGCTTCCAGTACCCTGAAGTAGTCTCCTCTGATCAGTAGCAAAAGTTCCTGATCCACTGCAGGTTAATGCACGATGTCGAGAATGATACTTGGGATTTTGCGCATGTGGTAGGCCACAGTGGGCCATCCCCCCCAACAAAATGAGGCTGACATACACCAAACGACAAGACTGTTTTACTGGGGGTGGTATTGTCTCCTCTGACCGGCAGCAACTCTCGAGGGCCTCAGGCACAGATCTGAGATCAGATTCTTGTGTATTCAGCATTTGGCTGAGCTCTCGACTCTGTTAATGAACGGCCATGGCTCAGTGGTAGAGTATCTAGTTGGCATGCAGAAGGTCCCAGGTTCAATCCCGACATCTCCAGTTAAAGATCAGGTAGCAGGTGATGGGAAAGACCTGGATGGTTGGCCCTCCTTAGTACTGGATGGGAGGCCACCAAGAAGTCCAAGCGTGGTCCGTAAAGGCAGGCAATGGCAAACCACCTCTGTTTGTCCCAGGCTAGCCCGATCCCATCAGGTCTTGGAAGCTAATTGGGGCCGGCCCTGGTTGGGAGACCACCAAGGAAGTCCAGGGTCGCTTCCCAGAGGCAGGCAATGGAAGAAGAAGAAGAGGAGGAGGAGGAGAAATATTTATTTATTTATTTAATTCAATTTCTGGGCCACCCTTCCCTGCAAGCAGGGCTCAGTGTGGCTCACAACAGGGGGAAACATACAATAAATAACTTAGATTACAACCCTACAATAAAATGCATAAATAAAATACAATAAATAATCCATTCCAAGATGGCAAAGAAAAAAACAATTCAGGTTTCACGAGCCTCCTGGGGGGGGGGGAGATTGGATTTATACCCCACCCTTCACTCAAGAGTCTCAGAGCCGCTTACAATCACCTTCCCTTCTTCTCCCCACAGCAGACACCCTGTGAGGTAGGTGGGGCTGAGAGAGCTCTGAGAGAACTGGAGAGAACAGCTCTGAGAGAACTGGGACTGACCCAAGGTCACCCTGCTGGTTCTCCAGATCAGACCTGGTTCTCCAGATCAGAGTTCTCTGCTCTTAACCACCACACCAAACTGGCCAACCACCCCTGTTTGTCTCTCACCTCGAAAACCCTATGGGGTCACCATACGTTGCCTGCGACTCGACTTGACCAGCAGGTGACATGAAAGACCTCTGCCTGAGATTCCGGAGGGCCGCTGCCAGTCTGACTCGACACTACTGACCTTGATGGACAGATGGTCTGATTCAGGAGAAGACAGCTTCATGTATTTATCTGTCCAAGCAATGGCCACAAAACTAATTGGAAGCTATGGGGCTAGAAACCCCAGTGGGTTTGCAAGACAGTTGCTTTTGACCCGCTGATGCCATCAAGGGCGAGACTGACCCTCCCACGCCAGGTTGGAAAGCACACACCTGAAACTGCCTTATACTGAATCAGACCCTTGGTCCATCCACGTCAGTACTATCTACTCAGACTGGAAACGGCTCTACAGGGTCTCAGACAGAGGTCTTTCATATCACCTTCCATCTGGTCCTTCAACTGGAGATTCCGGGGATTGAACCTGGGACCTTCTGCATTCCAAGCAGATGCTCTTCCACTGAGCCACAGCCCCTCTTTACAGCTCTCCAGTGTCTCAGGAGGAGGTCTTTCCCATCACCTATTACCTGGTCCTTTTAACTGGAGATGCTGAGGATTGAACCTGGGACCTCCTGCATGCCAAGCAGAGGCTCTACCGCTGAGCCACGGCCCCTCTTTACAGCTCTCCAGGGTCTCAGGCGGAGGTTTTTCCCATCAACTATTATCTGCTCCTTTTTAACTGGAGATGCCAGGGATTGAACCTGGAACCTTCTACATGCCAAGCAGATGTTCTTCAACTGAGCCACAGCCCCCTTTACAGCTCTCCAGTGTCTCAGGAGGAGGTCTTTCCCATCACCTATTACCTGGTCCTTTTAACTGAAGATGCCGAGGATTGAACCTGGGACCTCCTGCATGCCAAGCAGAGGCTCTACCGCTGAGCCATGGCCCCTCTTTACAGCTCTCCAGGGTCTCAGGCGGAGGTTTTTCCCATCACCTATTACCTGGTCCTTTTTAAGTGGAGATGCCGGGGATTGAACCTGGGACCTTCTGCATGCCAAGCAGATGCTCTTCCACTGAGCCGCGGCCCCTCTTTACAGATCTCCAGTGTCAGGAGGAGGTTTTCCCCATCACCTATTACCTGGTCCTTTTTAACTGGAGATGTCGGGGATTGAACCTGGGACCTCCTGCATGCCAAGCAGATGCTCTTCCACTGAGCCACGGCCCCTCTTTACAGCTCTCCGGGTCTCAGGCGGAGCTATTTCCCATCACCTATTACCTGGTCCTTTTAACTGGAGATACCGTGGATTGAACCTGGGACCTCCTGCATGCCAAGCAGATGCTCTTCCACTGAGCCACGGCCCCTCTTTACAGCTCTCCAGGGTCTCAGGCGGAGGTTTTTCCCATCACCTATTACCTGGTCCTTTTTAACTGGAGATGCTGGGGATTGAACCTGGGACCTTCTGCATGCCAAGCAGATGCTCTGCCACTGAGCAACGGCCCCTCTTTGCAGTTCTCCAGGGTCTCAGGCGGAGGTCTTTCCCATCACCTCCTGCCTGGTCCTTTTTAACTGGAGATGCCGGGGACTGAACCTGGGGCCTTCCGCAAGGCAAGCCCTGCAGACAGCAAGATGTCAACGGCCTGGTCAACAAAATTTCCATCCACCACCTTCCTGCACCCCCGGAACTGGATAGACCACTTGTGGCATCACCCACCTGTACATCAGCTCCGACTCCCGCCTCAGCAACAGCTGCTTCTCGTGGATCAGCTTGAACCACTCCACCATCAGCGCGTCCTCGCGGTCATCTACACACAAGAGCCAAAGACACTCTGAAGAACCCATGTGAACTTAATCCACTCCATCAGATAGACATTGCTGTGATGGCCCCAGATGGCCTCATCACCTCATATCTCAGAAGCTAAGCAGGGTCGGCCCTGGGTAGTCTCTGGACTTCTGACCCAGCATTGGAAAAGGTGCGGAAAAGGGGCAATTAAAATGATTAAGGGGATGGAACACCTTCCCTATGAAGAAAGGTGAAAGAGGTCGGGGCTGTTTGAGTTGGAGAAACGACGGCTGAGGGGTGACACGATCGAGGTTTACAAGATTATGCATGGGACAGAGAAGGTGGAGAAAGAAGTCCTTTTCTCCCTTTCTCACAATACAAGAAATTGTGGGCACTCAAGGAAATGGATGAGTAGTTGGCTTAGAACAGATAAAAGGAAGTACTTCTTCATCCAAAGAGTGACTAACGCATGGAATTTACTGCCACAGGAAACATAGAGGGCTTCAAGATGGGACATATGGGGCAGCGGTCCATCAGTGGTTCTTAGCCACAAGGTATAGATGGAACACTCTGTCTGGAGCAGTGATGCTCTCTATTCCTGGTGCTTGGGGGGGAACAGTGGGAGGGCTTCCGGAGTTCTGGCCCTGCTGGTGGACCTCCTTGGTTTTGGTCACCGTGTGACACAGAGTGTTGGACAGGATGGGCCAATGGCCTGATCCAGCATGGCTTCTCTTATGTTATTATGTGGTGGGCGCAGCAACAAAATGGCTGCCACAAAACAGCTGCTGCAGCGGGTGGAGTCAGACACAACATGGCTGCCACAGCTTACCTTCAATCGCACAATGAAGATTCTTTTTGGTCTGGTGGTAGCTGCTGCCAAAGCAACATTTTTAAAAATCTGCACAGCAAATTGAATCTCCATTGGCCGGTCAGAAGTCCTACCGGAAAAAGCCTTATCCGGCCCCTCCCACTTTCTAAAAAACACTCGGTGTGCACCAGTGCCCATGGGCACCATGTTGGGCCCCCCTGTAGTAACGAATCCGCCACCAGACGCCTGTGTGGCAACCCTCACGTCCACCTACCTCCCTCGCATTTCCTCAGCTGCTTCTCCATGTCAACCCCCTTCAATTCCAGCTCATCCAAATCTCTCTCGATCTGCTGGACTTCCTTCTGGATTTCTTTCTCGGGGATGTAGTCCGAGGAGAGCTGAAAGGAACAAAACCACAGAAGTTAGTAATACACACAAGCCCCACCACCAAAGGAACTTATGAGCCAATCCTGTCCCTACTGGCTGTTGGGGGATCGTGTGCTTCGTCCCCATGGTGGGGGGGAAACCAAGTCTGGGAGCTGCCCTTCCACGAGACCTCGTTCTCCCTCCCAGAAGGCCTGATCCTCTCTGCGCTCATAAAAAGACCTCTGCTTTGCTACCCAATGATACTCGTTTGCTGCTGTTGTTCAGTCGCACAGTCGAGTCCGACCCTTGCGACCCCATAGACCACATCACGCCAGGCCCTCCTGTCTTCCGCCATCCTTCAGAGTTTGGTTAATTTCACATTCCTTGCATCAATAACACTGTCTAACCATCTGCCGTCCTCTTCCTCTTTGACCGTCAGTCTTTCCCAATGATACTGACACCTTCCCCAAAGTCTGTGACACTGTTTGGCGCAAAGCTCTGCCCTTGATTCCCAGCCGCACCTTGGATGGAGACACCGCAGGACTGCTTAGACGCTTCTTGAAGGGTTCAGGAGCTGAAGGTTGAACTACAAAAGGGAGGGGAGAGGAAACTCTTGTGACATGAAGGAAAACTGAGTGAAGTCTGAGATGCTCGCGAGAGCGAGAAACTCTCCCTCTAAAAATGACCCACCAGTAAGAGTGAAATTCACATTTTGTAATTTTAAAAAAAGAAAGATAAGGAACACACCTCTACACAGCTGTCTTTCAAAACAATATCCTCCTTATGAAATTTAAGTGCAAAATAGCTAGATTCAAGTCCCACAGCCATGAGAGAACAACAAGATTTTCGGGTGACAAGCTTTCGAGACGCAACGCTCCCTTCGTCAAAAGTCGTACTCTGAAAATCTTGGAGGATTCCAGGGTGCTGCCAGACTCGAATGGAGCTGTTCTGCTGTACACCCACATAGCCACTCTCTGAAACTCAACAGTAAAATGCCCTCCTAAGAGAACAGCCTCGTTTTCCTCGAGGAGAGAATTCCATAATGCCGGTACCGCCACCAAAATATGAACAGGCCATGTGGCGAATGAACAGACGATTGAAAGTAGGGTCACCAGGCAACTGACCAGTGGGTTGGGGGCGGGAATAGGGGGGGGCGTGTGCGACATTGGTGATGTTATGATTTCTGGTCCTGGGAATAGGGGGGGAACGGAAGTGGCATCGGGTAGCTCTAGGAATCGCCTGAAACTCTATGGTAAAGCTTAACATACGTCGCGATTAGAACAGGAAGGAGAGGATTTTGAGCACCGAAGGGAGGAAGTTCCTCATTCCTGCATACAAAATTATCTCCACCCTTCCTCCATGTGTGGTAGCCATAGATACATCTGACCCTAGCAATTGCAGCCTTCCTTCCATCAGCTAGAATCTTCTTTCCAAGGGCTCTCCAACGGCTGACTGACATGACTGATGATACTGTGTGGCCTTTTTCTTTAACTCCTTTCTTACCATATTCGTGGAAATATTTATATCCCTCTTTTCTCCAAAATGGGGACTGACAGCGGGTTCCAACACCATTCTCTCCACCATTTTATCCCCACAACAACCACCCTGTCAGGTAGGTCCCCAGCTTTGGAATTCTGACACAGAGTACTGGGCGCAGCCACAAAATGGCTGCCGCAGCTTAGAAAAGAGAAAAAGAGGAGATTGGATTTATACCCTGCCCTTCACTACCCAAAGAAGTCTCAGAGCGGCTTACAATCCCCTTTCCCTCCCCACAACAGACACCCCGTGAGGTAGGTGGGGCTGAGAGAGCTCTTTCAAGGACTGCCCTTGAGAGAACAGCTCTGAAAGAACTTGTGACTGACCCAAGGTCACACCAGCAGCTGCATGTGGAGGAGTGGGGAATCAAACCCGGTTCTCCCAGATTAGAGCCCACGCTCCTAACCACGACACCAAACTGGCTCTTGCCTTCAGTCCCACAGTAATGATTTTTGTTCTGTGGTGACAGCTGCTGCCAAACCAGCCAATCAAATCTCCAGTGGCCAATCAGAAGCCTTGCTGGAAGCCCCATTTGGGCCCCACCCACTTTCTAACTTGGTGTCGGAAAGGTGTTGGCAGGATGTTGGGGACCCACGAGTTTGATCTAGAGACACCGTGACTTGGCCTAAAGTCAGCCAGCGAGCTTCAATGGCAGAGCAGGGATTCGAACCTGGGTCCCCCGAACTAGGTCCAGCACTCTAACCACTACACTGCACTGGCCATGTGAACTCATTGCCTGTCACAGTAAAACCAAGGGAGGAGGAATCACTCACCAGACGCAATGGCTTTCTTTGGCCACCCCGGCTCCTCCACCTTCCGGAGGGCCGGAGCATCTTCCCCCTGCGGCCTCGGCTTCTGCCAGCCGCTGGTGATATCGAGGCTGGACACCAACAGTCTCTTCTTCTGCGGCTGATCAGCTGCTGGTGCTAGAATGCAAAAGGGACACTTGGTACCCCAAAGACTCCGTGTCCCACCCTGCGCCTCACGAAAAAGTCCCGTCTCCAGTTTCAGGATATCCCACGCCTCCTTTTATGCACATTTGCTCATCTTCCCTTCTGCTCTAGAACCCAATCCTGGTAGTGAGCACATCATGCCCTACATCTCAAGGCTTAGTAGTATAGAGCATTGGCAATTTCAACAGGAAAGAAGAGAGTTTAAAAATAAATAGGGCATGGTTTCCTGTCCTGAAAAACACAAAAGGCTCTTCATCTGACAATAGCACTACAGATAAGATTAGAATTTCAACAGCCAATCCACATACAAAAGAACCTCCTCAGGAAAGCTCCACCATTAGGATGTTCATAGCCTGGGGAACTCCTACAAGATAATGACTCAGCCCTACCCCACCTTCTGGAGTAGATATAAATTACCTGCCTACCATTTTTCTTCTCACCTTGACACAGAGAACACTCCATCTTTCTGTGTTATACCTCTGAGGATGCCAGTCACAGCTACTGGCGAAACATCAGGTTCTACAATGCCAAGACCACGGCCACACAGCCCGGAAAATCTACAGCAACTAACTTATGACTCCAACAAGAGGCTCTCAAGGCAAGGGAGAAGCAGAGATGGTCGGCCATTGCTTTCCTCTGCAAGAGTCTTCTTTGGTGGTCTCCCATCCAAGTACCGACCCTGCTTAGCTTCCGAGATCTGATGAAATCGAGCTATACTATACCAGTCTGCATCCCAATTCTCCAGCAGACGCGAACCCCGCTGTTGGGACTTTTGCCAGCCTCCATGAGGACTGGACCCTTGCACACATGTTTCAAAAATGAAAGCTAAGATCCCAAATCTGATTTCACATCCGGCTCTTGTACAAAGTCCTCACAGAGCATAAACGGCTCCTCCCACCTACAACAAAACCGTACCAGGCTCTTGAACCATCAGGGAGACTTTGGGAAAAGCCGGCTTCGTTTCTTTGGGTGCCGAGCTGGGAGTGATGTTGATAACCGATTTGTGGACTTCTGCGGGCTTCGGAGCATTTCTGGCATCTCCTTGGTGGGGGAATCTGCAAAACAATAAGAGGCAGTCCAAGAAACCGCACTGTCCTGCCAAACATATTCCAACACTGTCTGGTATAACCGAAACTCTGCCCTAAGCTTTGTTAAGTATTTGGAATGTGTCGGCTGCCTCCCCAGAACTGGTTGGAGTCAGGCCCGTAGCTGCGGTGGGGCTTTGGGGGCTCTGCCCCCTTTCTAAGAGGCACAGCCCCACAAGAATGTCTCCTGTAAATGCTTTTTTCAATCATTTAAAAACATTTTTTAAAAGGCGTGCACTCCTTTAAGCAGAGTGGGGTGCTGTAGTTGACTAATTCCCGCACTGAGCAAGGGGGTTGGAGTAGGTGACCTCTAGAATCCCTGCTAACTCTATGTCAAGAAACTGGTCTCCTTTAAGAGAGTTTTTCTGCCTAAGTGTTACCTTTCTCAACTAGGGAAGTCATCACCCGCACTTGCCGACTTGTTCTCAGAACTGTCGCTTAGGCTGGCAGAAGTGATTGAACTGCTGCAGCTGAGAACTGTCATCTCAAGTGGTTGACAGCTTGCAATTTAGAGATCTCTCCCGGTAACAGCTTTCTATGGGCTACATGGCTTTTCTTTCTGCAATGAGAGCTTCAGTCCCACCAGAAAAAACATATGCCCCACAAGCCACACAATCCTGGCTACAGGCCAGGCTGTGGTGACTCACATCTAAAAGACCAAACATAATAAAACACAAACGGTATTGGTTGCAACATTTAAAAAACGACACTGAAATCACTCAAATCCACTCCTGTCCAGTGTTCCCTCTAAGCTGAGTTAGTGTGAGCTAGCTCACAGTTTTTTACCCTCTGGCTCACACATTTTTTGTCTTAGCTCAGGAAGGAGGGCTCCAGAGCAAACTAATCTACGCAGCAGCCAAATCGCTCACTCACAACTTTAATGCCGGTAGCTCACAAAGTAGAATTTATGCTCACAGGACTCCACAGCTTAGAGGGAGCGTTGCTCCTGACCCCAATTCAAGGTGTCGGTTTTGACCTACATGGTTTGCAACCAGAATATCTGAAAGACCATCTTCTCCCCCTACATTCCTGCCCTGGAATTAAACTCACAGGAAGAGTCCCTCCTGACTGTCCCACCAATCAAAGAAGCTTGTCCGGTGGGCACACGGGACAGCCAATGTTCCCTCTAAGCTGTGGCGTCCTGTGAGCAAAAATTCTACTTTGTGAGCTCCTGGCATTAAAGTTGTGAGCCAGCGATTTGGCTGCTGCATCAATTAGTTGGCTCTGGAGCCATCCTTCCTGAGCTAAGACAAAAATATGTGAGCTGGAGGCTAAAAAACTGTGAGCTAGCTCACACTCACTCAGCTTAGAGGGAACACTGGACAGGGCCTCTTTGGTGGTGGCCCCACGATTCCGGAACAGGCTCCCTAGGGAGGGGTGCCCCTGCCCCACCCCCTCACTTTCGAGCTTCAGGAGCCAGCTGAAGATGGCTTTATTTAGGTCAGCATTTAATTAAAGCGGTCCTAAACTGTGATTTTTTTGGTGTATTTTTAACGTAACCTATTTTATGTATTTTATGAATGTTGTGAGCTGCCTTGAGCGCCGTAAGGAAGAAAAGTAAAATAATTAAAATGGAGGAGCCTAAAACTAAACCTAATTGAACGGTCCTCAGGCTAGGAGCTGAGCCAAATTTTACTAAAGGCTGCCTCAATTTTTGTGCCAATTAAAAGCACGATTCTGCAGTCTCCGTGCATGCGAATGGTGCAGGATTGGGCCACGGACCATCTAGAGCAGCACCCAAGTCCTTACCCCTGTTGCTGCTCCTGGAAGCTAATATTCAGAGATATACTACTCCTGAACATGGAGGGTCTACTGAGCCACCATTACTCATAGCCGTCGATGAAGTCTGTCCTCCACAGATCTGCCCTGTCCCCTTTAAAAGCCACCTAACCTAGCAGCTGGTTCTACGTCTGGTGGCGGTGAGTTCCATAAGCGAATTACACAGGAATACAATATTGCAGGTGCCGAATGTGGGGAGTAGAGAGGTCAATAGTAGTGATGCACAGACTGAGTATCGTTACCAATCTTCTCACAGGGGAAACACAAGGAACTGCGGATTTCTTCCCAGAATACAGCCCCCTCCTAATCCCCATATCTGACGAAGGGAGCTTTGGTTTCTCAAAAGTGCATACCCCCAAAATCTTGCTGGTCTCCAAGGGGCCTACCGGAGCCACATCTGGTGCTTCAACTGCAGACCAGCATGGTTGCCCAACTGAAATTAGCTTAGCCCAACGACATCTGTTCTGATGGGATCCGGTTCAGATCCTTGGAAAGGGAGAATACGGGGTCGAATCCCGCAAAGCTAGCGTGCTACGTCTGAGCTACGGGCACCCCACGGGTGGGTCTCGGAGAGGGGGGCAATGAGCTAGCCTGACCAACACGCACACAGAGATCAGCACGGGCTTTTGAGGGGCAACAAAAACACAGATATCTGGCGGGGCAGCACTCTCAGCAATACCCACTTGGTGCCCACCGGCTTCAGCCTCGACCGCCAGTCCGCTGGGCTCTCCGACTTCTCTTCCGTAACACCCGGGCCACCTGCTGTATGAGAAACACATGGAGGTCAACATACGAAGCAGGCTGCCTTATACGCTCCCCGACTAGTGATCAATAATCTAGGCAGCATAGGGTCCCCAGTCCCCCAGTGAGGGCAGGGGAACCTGCCACCAACCACCTGGCCAGAGGGGGAAATCCCACCCCCAACTGACCTTCCCAGGCGACTTCCGGCAAAACTGGAAGGGAAGGCCCCAATGAGAAGATGTCACACAGTCGGAGGAGGGGACGCTCTGGTTTGTGGGCAAAACTCTATGGTTTGAAGCCAAATTTACCATAGTGGTCTCCCATCCAAGTTATTAGCCAGGACTGACCCTGCTTAGTTTCTGTGATCTGATGAGATCAGGCTAACCTGGGCCACCCAAGTCAGTGCAAGAGATGTTCAGAGGTGGCTTTGCCATTGCCTGCCTCTGCGTAGCAACTCTAGACTTCCTTGGTGGCCTCCCATCCAAGTTATCAACCAGGGCTGACCCTGCTTGGTTTCTGCGATTTGATGAGGCTAGTCTGGGCCTATCTTTATCAAGGGAGGGGGGTGACATCAGCTCTAAGCCCTTGGGCATAAGGGACATTTCCCGGCATGCTGATATCGTTAGCAATGGGTGTGTCAATCTTGACGAGAACAATTCCTTAGATCAACTAGTTGAGATGGACTGACTTCCGGATGGCTCTCCACCCACGATAGCCAAACTTGTCTCCTGGAATATAGCAGGGTGGAGGAACAAGGCCAATGAACATGATTTTATAGACGATCTTAAATCCTTTGATATTGTCCTTCTGCAGGAGACTCGGGCCCTCACTCCCTTATCCCTTGGAGGATTTACATCTCACTCCCTTTTAGCATCCAGGGCCAGTAGTGGAGGTGGCCCCCACGCAGGCGTAACCACCTTCGTTTCTCTTAATCCTAATTTAAGATCCATTCGTCTACAAGATTGCCCCCCCCCATTGCCCAAGCCACTTTGATAAATTGCGGAAACTTCTCTCTAAAAATACTGAACATCTACATCCCACCCTCCTCTGACAGATCTATCTTGTTTACTTATTGGTGCTAGTCTGGGCCATCCAGATGAGGTCAGGGACATTCAGAGGTGGTTTTCTATGGCCTACCTCTGCATAGCGACCCTGGGCTTCCTTGGTGGTCACCCATCCAAGTGCTAACCGGGACCGACCCTGCTTAGCTTCTGAGAGCAGACAAGTTCTGGCTACCCTGGGCCATAAATCGGCTCCTTGCACGCCTGAAATTTTTAAAAAGATCTGTAAACGTGGCCTATCCCCTGCGTGGACCGAGGGGCTTCCTGAATGCACAACTGCGCACCTGCACTGATTGTGGCTCCGGCTAAACATCCCAATTTCCCATCAGCTGCCCCGACTTCTCCTCCACCGACCGCCCTTTTCCTTTTTAAAAACTTTTCCCAAATAAAAAACAGCACAAGGACCAAGCCCGACGTAACGACCGGCCGGCCGAGAAGACGCACACCAGAGCCCTGTATGCCGCTTTGCATAATTTACCCCAAGGAGGGAACCGGAGTTGAATTCGCCTGGTGTTTTGTTTTTGTTTTTTTTAAAAAAGAATCAGATCTCCTCGGCGCTGGCTTTTCCCTCCTTCAGCGCGAAACCAATTTCCAAGTGCATCCGTGGCACGGCCCCTCTTGAACAATTCCAGCTTCATCTAATCTTTTATTTTAATGGCCTTCCTAAGCACCGCTGTATTACTCGTGGGGGGGGGGAGAATATGATTTATGTGTTTTCATCAATTCAAGTGACACGGCGTTCAGAAAGATCCCCAGCTGGGGGTGGGGTGAAGCATAACATTTAGACTTGCTCCGTCTTCGGGGGCAGGATTTCCATATTCCTGGCATAGACCGCCACCAACCCTACCGCGAGAATATGTTTTTAAACATCCTTAATGATCACCCCACTGAACAATAATCTGTTTCAGAAATGGAACAGGAAGAAGAAGAGGATGAGGAGGAAGAAGAAGAGGAGGAGGAGGAGGAGGCAGCGATTGGATTTATACCCCACCCTTCACTTGGAAGTCTCAGAGCAGCACCCTTCCCCTCCCCACAACAGACACCCCCTGATGTAGGTGGGGCTGAGAGAGCTCTTTCCAGAACTGTCCTTGAGAGAACAGCTCTGACAGAACTATGGCTTGCCCAAGGTCACCAAGCAGCTGCAAGTGGAGGAGTGGGGGCTCAAACCCGGTTCTCCCAGACTAGAGTTCACACACTTAACCACTACACCAAACTGGCTATCACTAGACCAAACGACTACACCAAACTATTGAGCAGATCAAGTTATACCCAGAGCTTTTATTGTGTTCTGCGTTATGTACAAAGACACTGCAGAAATTAATACTGGACGCAGAATTCGATCTGGGACGCAGAATTCAGACTCCAGAAATACCCCCCCTTTTTTAAAGAGCCTGTTTCTAGCCCTTGTGTGGGAGGGCCAAGATAGGTTTTGAAGCATCTGTAAAAAACGACAGTGTGGTGTAGTAGTTAGAGCGTCAGACTAGGATCCGGGTTCGAACCCCTACTCCACTGTAGTAACGTGCTTGGGTGACTTGGGCCAGTCACACAAGCTGAGCTTCACCTACCTCGCAGGGTGGTTGTGAGATTAAAAAAGGAGGGGAGAGTGTCATAAGCCGCTTTGGGAGGGAGAAAAGCGGGGAATGAATGAATGGAATGCTTAATGTAATCTCCAAAGCCATGGATGGTTTTTACAATAATCAGACAAATCCATGGACCCCGGGCCTATTCATCTCTAATAGAGCCTCCATGTTCAGGGGAACTATACCTTGCCTTCTTGCTTTCCTTGTAAGCTTTCCAGAGGCATCCTACCGGTTGCTAATGAGAACAGAATACAGCACGAACGGCTGAAACTATAGGAGAGTTACCCCGGTCGATCTCCATTGACTTCAGTCGTTTCAGACCGGAGTAACTCCAGAGAGGATTCCACTGTGTAAATGCTAGATCTGACCCAGCACAGCCCTGTTCCCTTCCTCGTGACGCATATAAGTGGAACCGGCTGTGCAAATTAACGATGTTTATGCCAATGTGCTTAAGACGCATAATTCAGACAAGGCGCCAAAGTGCCAGAGTTCATTCCAGATGCTAATGGCTAAATCGTACCTTTCGAGACCTTCACATCCACTTTAAGTCTAGCTTCGGCGGGTCTGCTAACGGGGGGGTCCTTGGCTGGGTTCTGGGCGGCCGTTCCCACGATGTGGCGAGGGTCCTTGGGCGAATTGGGGGCCGCGGTCCTTGGCGGTGCTTGCCCTGGTTTTTCCGAGCTGCCCGGCCCACTGGTGGGCTTCGAGACGTTGGGGACATCCTTCGGCTCCAGCCGTTGGAAGCCAGAGGTAGTGGGCGATGACCTGCCGTTGCAGACAGAAGAGATTCAACAACTCAGGCTGGATCCAGACTGCCTCGAAACTGCACCCCCAGACCTCTGCACATGCCCCATTTCCAACTTAAACTATCAGTGCTCCTTCCCCATGAGGAACAGCTGAAAAACCTGAGACTTTTCAGTTGAGAAAAGAGATGGCTAGGGGGGGTGGACACGTGATAGACATTTATAAGATGATGCGTGGGTTGGAGAGAGCTGACAAAGAGGAATTTTTCTCCCTCTCTCAAAATACGAGAGCTGGAGGGCATCCAATGAAACTGATGGGCAGGAGGTTCAAGATGGACAAAAGGGAATACCACTTGATACAGGGAATTGAATTAAAATGTGGAATTCACTGCCAGAAGATGTAGTGATGGTCACAGGAATAAACAGCTTTAAAAGGGGATGAGATAGATTCGTGGAAGATCAGTCTATCAATGGCTACTAGCTATGATGGCTGAAGGGAACCTTCGCATTCAGAGGACTATTGGTGTGATCCAGCAGGACTCTTCCGATGTTCCTGTCAGGGGAAGGCCTTGGCCTCTCTGCCCTGTTGCTGGGCCTCCAGAGGAACTGGCCGGCCCCTGTGTGAGACGGGATGCTGGACGGGATGGATCCTCCCTGGTCTGATCCAGCAGGGCTCTTCTGATATTCTTAACAGCCTCTGTGCCCTGCTATTGGTCCTCCAGAGGAACTGGCTGGCCACTCTGTGAGATGGGATGCTGGACTGGATCTGGTCTGATCCAGCAGGGCTTGTTGTTCTTATGTTCTAGGGTTGCCAGCCTCCAGGTACCAGATGACTTCACATGACTCAGATCAGTTCCCCCGTGGAAAAATGGCTGCTTTGGAGGGGGGACTCTGTGACATTATATCCTGCAGGCAACCCTAGTGTGCTCCACCGGAATTCATCTGGGAAGGTCCCAACTTTAGGGTGGGTAGCCATTCACAGGGTCTTGGGGAGATCAGAAGCTCCACAAAGCACCCTGCACCATTTTGAGGGACTAAACCCCTGAAGCGGCCTTTGACTGAGTCAGAATCTTGATCTACTATGGTCAGCCTTCTCTGCTCTGACTGGCAGACGCTCTCCAGGGTCTCAGGTGGAGGTCCTTCCCCATCACTTCCTGCCTGGTCCTTTTAACTAGAGATGCTAGGGATTGAACCTGGGACTGCCTGCATGCCAAGCCGATGCTCTGCCACTGAGCCACGGTCCCTCTTTACAGCTCTCCAGGGTCTCAGGCTGAGGTCTTTCCCATCACCTCCTGCCTGGTCCTTTTAACTAGAGATGCTAGGGATTGAACCTGGGACTGCCTGCATGCCAAGCAGAGGTTCTACCACTGAGCCACGGTCCCTCTTTACAGCTCTCCAGGGTCTCAGGTGGAGGTCTTTCCCATCACCTGCTGCCTGGTCCTTTTTAACTGGAGATGCTGCCGGGGATTGAACCTGGGACCTCCTGTAAGCCAAGTAGAGGCTCTTCCACTGAGCCACAGCCCCTCTTTATAGCTCTCCAGAGTCTCAGTGGAGGCCTTTCCCATCACCTCCTGCCTGGTCCTTTTTAGCTGGAGATTCCGGGGATTGAACCTGGGACCTTCTGCATGCCAAGCAGAGGCTCTTCCACTGAGTCACGGCCCCTCTTGACAGCTCTCAAGGGTTTCAGGAGGAGGTATTTAACATCACCTCCTGCCTGGTCCTTTTAACTGGAGATGCCGGGGATCGAACCTGGGACCTTCTGCATGCCAAGCAGATGCTTCCCCACCCAGCCACATCCCCTCTAAGCAAAAGCCATTTCCGGTACACAGATAAAAGTTTGATCAGATGCATTCAGTGTTTACCAGCTGCGGAATTTCAGGCAGCCAGCTGCAGAATTTACAGATGCACAGAACTCAAACCAAACCCCGAACTCAGCCCAGCACTTACCCACGGACCCCCAACAATCTAGGCTGAGCTTTAGGAGAACCTCTTCGCCCAGGTGTCGAAGGCCCAGGTAACGCGTGCATCAGAATGTTCCGTGCTCTGTCCTTCTCGCTGTTGCCCGAATTCACCCCCGGCGCGCTGACTCCCGGAGACGATGTCTTTCCGGCTGCTTCAGGAGCCTTAAAAGGAGAGACGTGGTTTTTAACCGGTTCCACTTTGTTTGCAGGGAGTCCGGAAGACCCTAGACCAGGCTGGAAAAAAATTTCCCGGGCCTGTTGCGTCTTGGCAGATGACGCTGTCCAATGAGAAGTGGCCGGTGCAACGCCAGCTTCAGGACGGTCCGTTTTACCCCCAACGGGATCGGTGCGACGTGTAATAGGGCTGGTGGAAACAGAGCCAGATTTATTTGTTCCCAGATAGGAAGGTTCCCATGGCTTGGCAAGGCTGCTGTTCCGGAGCACCGGATTTGTCTTCAAGGGCTCCTGTGTCGGCTTCTTAGATTCCAGTCCTTTCAAATGGATCCCGGATGTTGACGTGGTACCAGTAAGCTTATTTTGTCCACCAATGTCCCTCGAAGATGGGAAAACATGGAGGTGGTTCGGCTCTTCGTGTCTGGTGCAGATGAGCGTACCTGGCTCAGTCCCAGCTTTGTAGGCCCCCGAGGTCAGTGTGTTGGAGCACTGTTTGCACCTGAGGGGAAATGACAGGGTTCAAAGGTCACCAACCAGCCACCAAATCCCACCCGTTCCAACTTAAGGCAGGTTCTACCCCGCATCGAAGTTCGTCTCCCAGACCACAAGCGGAGAAGAGCCATGAATGACACAGGCCTACCAACGGCAAAGCTCATACCCGGATTAAGACCCCCTCCAGGAATCAGTACCTGAAGCAGTTCCTGTGATAGAGCTTCCCATCCACCAGGTGGCGCTGCACCAGGTGCACGTGGGCGCCACAGACAGCGCAGTCGCTGCTCCGTGTGTTGCTGGTCTCCACCAAAATCCGTCTCTGGGAGAGGGCAGAACAAAATAAAACACATTAGAGTCCTGTTTGTTTCACAGGACTCACGAAGCTGCCTTCTATTGAATCAGACCTTTCTTCCGTCTATGTCAGTATTGTCTACTCAGACTGGCAGCAGCTCTCTGGGGTCTCAGGTGGAGGTCTTTCTCATCACCTCCTCCCTCTTCCTTTTTAACTGGAGATGCTGGGGATTGAACCTGGGACCCTCTGCATGCCAAGCAGATGCTCTTCCAGTGAGCCACAGCCCCTCTTTACAACTCTCCAGGGTCTCAGGTGGAGGTCTCTTCCATCACCTCCTGCCTGGTCCTTTTTAACTGGAGATGCCGGGGATTGAACCTGGGACCCTCTGCATTCCAAGCAGATGCTCTACCAGTGAGCCACAGTCCTTCTTTACAACTCTCCAGGGTCTCAGGTGGAGGTCTTTCCCATCACCTTCTGCCTGGTCCTTTCTAAGTGGAGATGCCGGGGACTGAAACTGGGACCTTCTGCATGCCAAGAAGATGTTCTACCACTGAGCCATGGCCCCTCTTTACAGCTCTCCAGGGTCTCAGGTGGAGGTCTTTCCCATCACCTCCTGCCTGGTCCTTTCTAACTGGAGATGCCGGGGACTGGACTTGGGACCTTCTGCATACCAAGCAGAGGCTCTGCCACTGAGCCACGGCCCCTCCCTTTATTCAAGTGATACTGGACACAGTCGAGAACAGAACACCCCTGTTCTTAGACAAGATGCTGGAAGGTCCCTGAATGGCTCTTCCAGCGTTTTCTTTTTTTTAAGCTCAGTTATCAGGCATGCAGGGATATAAATACTATGGTTATTATGGGGAGAGGCATCTCTTTTTTTCCAAAATTCACTTTCTCAGGTATAGCCATTCATTCCTCTTTAGGGTTGCTAAGTCTGATGCCCACGCCAGTGGGGGGTGGGAGGGAACTTTTTGGGAGTGGGGCGGAGCGGTATGATGAGCTGACATCACACGGAAGGGACATCGTGCGGTGATGCTCTTGTTTTTGGGCAAAAGTCTATGGTAAAATCGGCATCAAACCATAGAGTTTTGCCCAAAACCCAGAGTGTCACCATGTAACGTTCCCGATGTGATGTCATCACTTTCATGTGATGTCAGCGCATCAGGGACGTCGTGCAGCAAAGCCTCAAAAACCGGGGGACCCTTAGCTCAGCACTGGGGAATAGCAATTTTATTCTTCTTATATTCTTTTTTTTTCTCCTTCAAGAGACGGGTTTCTCTTTCATTTCTCTTTCATTTCTCTTTGAAGAGAAATCAAGGCACACATTTTGTAATTTTAGCCCTTGCAGTTGTTTTATACACCACAGGGTGGTGCTCTAATCAGAGGACAGGAAGGTTTGGGAAGACATCGCCTGCCTTGGAAAATCTACATAGTGAAATTCTGAATTTTTTGCAGACCCTCCCTTCCCGGCCCCTTGTCTCCTTGAATTTCCTTTTTGATCAAAACAGAATTGATTAGAAACTGACTCCACATTCCTAAGAAGAGGGAACGAAAAAGGACTGTGGGATTTCAAGGAGAAATTGGGTGAATTTAAGAGAATTGTTAAGAGAATTTCTCTTAACAATCCTAATAAATACCACGCCCCCTACTGGATGAGGGAGAGTTTATTGAGTCCTACCGCCCAGATCCTGCCAAAGGGAATGGTGGTTGCATACCCCAGTCGCCGGAGGGTTCTCTTTCACCAGATTTCGTTCCTGTGGGGCCAGGTTTGTCTTGGGTTCAGGGGGCACGTGGATTCGTGGGGGCTTAGCTGGAGCCGGGACAGCTGGTTCCGAAACAACCTTCTTCTCCTTTGGCTCCTCAGCGGGGCTGGACGAGGGGCGTTTCACTCCAGACATCCCTCCAACTAGTGAGGAAGGAACACAGAAATATTTCAGGAAACATTTGGGGGGGGGGCAGTCACACACTCTCTGCCTGACCTCCCTCACAGGGTTGTTGTTCTGAAGGTACCACGGGGGGGGGTCCCTGTTGGGGAAAAAGCCAAGGTATAAATGAAATAAGCAAGTAAATCAATAACAAAAGGGAAGATGTGACAATGGTCGCCAATGCTCCCTCTAAGCTGTGGAGTCTTGTGAGCAAAAAATTACATTTTGTGAGCTACTGGCATTAAAGTTGTGAGCGAGCGATTTGGCTCCCGCATAAATTAGTTTGCTCTGGAGCCATCCTCCCTGGGCTAAGACAAGAATGTGTGAGCCGGAGGGTAAAAAACTGTGAGCTAACTCACACAGCTTAGAGGAAACACTGTTTGCACTGGCCCCTCCATAGCCTGAAAATCTTACCTGTCCCCTCATTTTCTCTTTTCTTACTGAGTCGCACTTAATGTTACAGGGAAAGGTGTGGAAAGAAGAAGAGGAGGAGGAGGAGGAGAGATTGGATTTATACCCCGCCTTCTCGATTCAGTCCAGGAGAATGCAATTCAGCAGTCTCTCTTTCTTACCTCCCTTTGAAATTCCTTTGAAAGAGCACTGCTACTCTTAGGTCAGCAACTGAATGTTGTGGTTTCTAATGTCAGACTTATGCTCATTTATTCTCTGCATCCTCCTGGACTGAATCCTCCCGGATGGAACTGAGACCTAGGTTTCCTGTCTCATTACCAATGCTGATATCTCCACACCCACTTCCCCTCCGCATATCACACCTAATCCATTCATGCCTGCTATTGCCATTTGGCATCTGAAATCATCTTTATAAAGTTCATATCTCTTGTACCTCGTGTTACATTTTATAGCACGTATGGCCCAACAAAGTTACATTTATGTCAGATCCGGCCCTCATAACAAATGAGTTCGACATCTCTGCTCCAGGCTTTCCATTTGGGAAAACAGCACGGCAGGGAAGGTTTGAGATCTTTCTCCCTGCGTGCTATGGTCTCAATCCAAATTGGGTCACCTCAAACCTGGGAATTAAATTCTGAGCCCGACACGCCTCGACAGGTCATATCTGATCTGAATTGCAACTGATAATGAAGCCCAAGACAATGCATCCACCTGGATTGAATTGAGACCTAGGTTTCCTGTCTCATTACCAATGCTGATTTCTCCACGCCCATGACCCCTCTGCATATCTCACCTAAATCCAATCACTCCTCCTATCGTCGTTTGCCTGCTAACGTCTTCAGCATCTGAAATCTCTCCACTTTCCAATAAATAGGACAGATGGACTCCCATTCTAGCCGTATCTGAAGAAGTGAGCCGTGACTCATGAAAGCTCCTCCCCTGCTACATATTTTGTTAGTCTTCAAGGTGCTTCTGGACTCTTGCTCTTATCTGATCAGAAATCCTCATGGTGGCCATGGGGATTTTGTAATGTGTGAACTGTCCTGTTACGTAGCGGGGCTTAGTTTGATGGAACCAATACTGCTGACCTTTTGTTCGGATCAGAAAAAGGCCCTGGTTGAAAATTAGCTGCCGATCGGCATCCCACAAACTCCCCACTGTGTGTCTCCACTGTCCACCTTTGTGACACACAATTTAGAAGAAGAAGAAGAGAATTGCATTTATACCCTATCCTTCACTACCCGAAGGACTCTCAGAGCAGCTTACAATCTCCTTTCCATTCCCACAACAGACACCCTTTGAGGTAGGTGGGGCTGAGAGCTCTTCCGAGGACTGCCCTTGAGAGAACAGCTCTGAGAGAACTTGTGACTGACCCAAGGTCACACCAGTAGCCACTAGTGGAGGAGTGGGGGAATCAAATCCCGTTCTACCAGGTTAGAGTCCGCACACTTAACCACTACACCAAACAGGCTCTCAGAATTACTGTTCAGAAATTTCACCCAACTTTCAGTGTTCACCTGATCTTGCTGTGCTCCTTAAAAACAGCCCTATGGGGTACGCCGGTATTCTCCCCAGATGGTAGACCGGAGGACTGAGACACAACTGCTTCAGGTCAACTTTGGCTAGGGTTGCCGAGTCTGGATCAGGAAATTCCTGGAGATTTTTGAGGGTGGATCTGGGAGAGGGCGGGGCTTGGGGAGGGGAGGGGCCTCAGCAGGGTATAACGCCATCAAGTCCACCCTTCAAAGCAGCCATTTTCTCCAGGAGGAACCGATCCCTGTGATCAGGAGATCAGCTGTGATTCCGGGAGGGCCCCAGGCCCCGCCTGGAGGTTGCAGCAAAACAAACAGAGAGACCACGGGATGGAAGCTTGGAAAGAAGTAAACAACCGTGATGTATTGTGCCAAAAAAAGTCTCCAAAGACCAGAAATTTCTTTTTCCAATATTTCAGTTTACTGGAAGGAATTCAAACGCCATCAACACAACAGCTCATGCCTATTGTTTCGGGTATAGCTTTTTCAAAGCAAGTAGCGTTGAAATACAATGTTAATCCGTTTGACAAACTCTCTGCTAGTATCTCATAGTGACACTCACCAAAACCATTAGTGTAACTCATCAAAACTCTAATGGTTTTGATCAGGGGTCATTTCGTAGTAAAAGAGGTGCAGGCGCTCATTAGCATGACTTATTAGCAGGGCTCTAGTCGGGGGGGAGCTCTCAGGTACGGAGCTCCGGAAGAGAACCTCTAGGGGGCGGGGCGGTCACGTGGTGAAGCCCCGCCCCCTTCTTTACCCCGCCCTCTGCTTCGATCCTCATTCCGTTTGGGAATGAGGATGAAGCAGGAGGGTAAGTAGCCGGGCCTTCTGACACACTTCCGGTGATGTCAGGGGGTGTGGCCTTCTGTCACTTCCGGTGATGTCAGGGGGCGTGGCATATGCAAATAAGTTATGCTAATGAGTTATGCTAATGAGCTCCGGCAGCTCTTTTTCTACAACAAGACCCCTGCTTATTAGCATAACTTATTTGCATATGCCACGTCCCCTGACGTCACCGGAAGTGTGTCAGAAGGCAACACCCACTGCTCAAGCTCCACTGGACTGTTTTGGATTGCTAGCTATTGGGGGGGGGGGACGTGCAGATCTGTCCTCGCAGAGGAGGGAGAGCTTGTACCTGAATAAAACTTGGTCTTAAAGGTGCGACTGGACTGTTTTGGACTGGGGGGGGAGCTCTGCAACTTACCTGGCTGCTTCGTGCTCTGACTGAGGGCTGCTGGGAGCAGGGGGTGGGGCTTGTTGGATGTGCCCGCCCCCTGGGCTCTTTACTGCCGGAGCTTCGCTCCTGTGCGCTCCTGCAGGAAATGACCCCTGGTTTTGATGAGTGTCACTATGAGATACTACCAGAGAGTTTGTCAAACGGATTAACGTATTTAAACGCTACTCACCTTGAATACATGAAACGAGATAATAGGTATGATCCGTTGTGTTGACGGCATTTGAATTTCTTCCAGTAAACTGAAATATGCTGAGATGGACAAACTGGAAACGCAGAAAGAGCAAAGAAGAATTTTAGAATGCATGGTCAAGATTCTATCAATGGTTAGAAGAAAATAAAATATAAACTTCTGGATCTCTAACCTAAATAAACAGACTTATGAAATATAGTTTCAACTATTAATAAAAGGTTTATAAGGTATATCATGAACATATAAGATGAAAAATGTAAGACTTTTAATTATATGGTCAAAGAAACCGAAAAAAGGAACATTACATGATTGTAACCCCCTATATATGTTGCTTGTTTGTATGTGTGTGTATGTCTATGAAATTTTAAAAATTCCACAAAAAAAATTAAGGCACTATAGACACCAACTTCACATTGGGCAATTCCTGGAGATTTGGGGTGGTAGAGTCCAGGCACGGCAGGGTTTGGGAAGGGCAGGGATGTTAGCGTGGTATTACGTCAAAGAGTCCACCTCTCAAGGCAACCTTTTTCTCCAGATCTCTGTAGTTTGGAGACCAGTTGTAATTCTGGGGGGGGGGATCTCCAGGCTGTACCAGGAGACTGGCAACCGAAGAAGAAGAAGAGGAGGAGGAGGAGGAGATTGGATTTATACCCTGCCCTTCACTTGGAGTCTCAGAGCAGCTTACAACCTCCTTTCCCTTCCCCTCCCCACAACAGGCACCCTGTGAGGCAGGTGGGGCTGAGAGAGCTCTTTCAGGAACTCCTCTTTCAAGGACAGCTCTGATAGAACTATGGCTTGCCCAAGGTCATCCAGCAGCTGCAAGTGGAGGCGTGGGGACTCAAACCCAGTTCTCCCAGACTTAACCACTACACCAAACTGGCTACTAAAGGCACATAAAAAAAGCAAAGGAGCAACAATTCATGAAAGTACAACCAGCACATCCCACATGATGCTCGGCTCAGCAGTGCAAGAGCCCAGCGCCACCTACACTGCCTTCACACCCTTCGTTTTTTTTAAAAAACGAGTTTCCAAAAGTCAGGCCGAGGGCCAGCCATTCTACCAGCTGTCCGGCCTCCATAAATATCAACCATTTCCTGGTCAGCGGCCTGCAAATGCCTGAATGGAAGCCACTCCGAACGGGGCCTCCAAGCCCAGAGGTCACCCTTCCCAGAGTTCAGAGAGCACATTCCTCGCAGGCCTGGGGCCTTGGAAACAGATGCGCCCCGCCTGATGTTCTCATCTCGGTGGAGACCGTTTGGAGCAGGGGTCTGCAACCCGCGGCTCCGGAGCCGCATGCGGCTCTTTGGAATGTTTGCCGCGGCTCCGGGAGGTGACTGTGACAGGCGGCGGCAAAGAGGGCGGAGGCGGAGGGGCGCAGCGGCGGCAGCAGCGGAGCGGGAAAGAGGAGCGCGGAGAGGACTTTCAAACAGCACAGCCGCCGCAGCCGCCGCGGGCAGCAAAGGCGAGCTGGAGCGTGACAGGCGGAGAAGGGGGCCAAAGGAGAGAGAGGCGCTTCTGCCCCGCCCCGCCCACGGCCTCCCTCACTCCCCCCCATCCACCTTAAGGCAGCCGGACCCTCGAAGGCCGGATTGGGGGTGTGAGGCTGGCGGGGGGGGGAAAGCATCGGGCCCCACCCCGACCCCGGTTTTAATCACGTGCCTTGATGGCGGCTCCCGGGGTTTTTTTCCCCGTCGGAAACGGGTCCAAGTGGCTCTTTATGTCTTAAAGGTTGCAGACCCCTGGTTTGGAGGGAGGACACAGGGAGGGTATTCAGATCGGCTCTCGCTCCAGAGGTGGCGGGGATGGCTCCTTCCGGGAGAGGAGGGGAGCGACCCGACTGGCAGGGATCCCAAACCGCTCGGCAGAAATGCCACCGGGCCAGCGGCCTTTGTCTGGGCCTCTCTCAGAGGCTCAAGACAGACAGGGTACAGAATGCAGCGGGTCACGGCACAGGGGGGGGGGACACGGTGTCAACGTGGCGGGAAGACAGAAGGGTCTTTCTATACCACGCTCACAACAAGAGTTGCAAACACGAGGCGATAAAGTAAGTAAGAGAGCCAGTTTGGTGCAGTGGTTAAGTGCGCGGACGCTAATCTGGGAGAACCAGGTTTGATTCCCCACTCCTCCACTTGCAGCTGCTGGATGACCTTGGGCAAGCCATGGTTCTGGTCAGAGCTGTTCTTGAAAAAGAGCAGAGCTCTCTCAGCCCCACCTCCCTCACAGGGTGTCCGTTGTGGGGAGGGGAAGGGAAAGGAGTTTGTAAGCCGTTCTGAGACTCTGAGTGAAGAGCGGGGTGGAAATCCAATCTCTTCTTCTTCTTTTATCATTATAATCACATTATAATTATGTTAAGATCATTGGCTCGCATTTCACTCAGCAGCACCAAGTTTCTAGGCTTCATGACCAGCCGGAACCATGCGGATGGAATCCAAGAAGCTTTGAGGGCCGAGATGACTCACTTTTGCTTATTATTTGGTAAATGGTTAGGGTCACAAAACTGATTGGCCCTTCCAGGTCCCAAGGACGCCAGGCTAGCTGCAACCAGGACCAGAGCTTTCTCGGTGATGGCTCCACACTGGTGGAATGAGCTCCAGGAGGAGATCAGGGCCCTGCGGGACCTTTTGCAATTCCACAGAGGCTGCAAGACGGAGCTCTTCCGCCAGGCTTTCAACGAGGAGCTGCCACCACTACCATCATTAGCAACAACTGAAGCCTAGTGCCTGGCCTATTATTACTGATAGCCTGTGCTCGCCGACAGAAACTGAGAATGACCAACGAGCTGATATCAAGTGAAATTACAGAATGTATGAGGCCATCTTGGATATCCTAAGTCAACGGCTAGCACTTTAATATATTGTAAGTTGGTTTTAATGAATTGTTTAATGAACTGTTCGAAGGACTGTTTTTAGATGTATATATTTATTGTTATCGTGCTTTTATTATGTGAGCCGCCCGGAGCCTGCTATGGTACACATTTAAATAAATAAATAAATAAATAAAGCCTTTTTGCTGACGGAATGACACAAACTGTGAAGACTATGTTCAGCAGAAGCCTTGTCTTGCCAAAAGCCGTAAAAGCGGGGGTGGGGGGAGAAGGCGTGGACTCCAGAACACGCCAAAAAGAGGGTATGACAAAGCGTGGCTGGCTCTATCGTTCCTCCCGAACACTCAAAGATATACTGCTGCTGACACTCGAAGCTCCATTCCTAGCAATCGTTCACTGATGCAGCCTTCACGTAATCGTCTCGGTCGTTTTAAAAGACGTGTTGGTTCCTGTCAAAGCTGGGGTGAAAAATGTCTTTGCACAAAAAGAAAAAGGAGGTGGAACAAGACACACTTACTGGGAGACCGGCCATGGAAGTAGTTGTAATACTGCGATACGTAGGTGAGGATGCTCAGTCTGTCCGGGACTTTGAGGGCCACCATGTCCTCCGCGTCCAGCAGGGCTGGGATCCCCAATTCCTTCTCCGCCATTTGGAAAGCCTAAAGGACACGAAGAGAGGAAACTGGGAGTCACTTCGTGAGCCCAAGTCACAGGAAAGAGTCACCAGCTACACTTCCTTCCTTTTTGTCCAAGGCAACGACCCCCGTTTCCCCCCCCCCCGGCTTGAATGCTGGAAAGTGCCATCAAGACGCAACTGAATAATGGTGACCCCCACCGGGTTTCCAAGGCAAGGGGTATCTGTGAATGCCCTGCATTGGACTAGACGACCCTGGAGGTCCCTTTGCATGATTCCATGAAAGAGGAGGAGTAGGAGAAGGAGACTGGATTTATACCCCGCCCTTCACTACCCAAAGGAGTCTCCGAGCGGCTTACAAACTCCTTTCCCTTCCCCTCCTCACAACAGGCACCCTGTGAGGGAGGTGGGGCTGAGAAAGCTCTGATAAAAACGGCTCTTTTTCAAGAACAGTTCTGACAGAACTACAGCTTGCCCAAGGTCATCCAGCAGGTGCAAGTGGAGGAGTGGGGAATCAAACCCGGTTCTCCCAGATTAGAGTCCACGCTCCTAACCACTACACCAAACTGGCTCTCAGAGAGGAGAGGATCGCGTATACTGTTCCACCGGAGGTGGTGTGCCACTCCCTGCCTCTGCATGGCAACCCTGGGCTTCTTTGGCGGTCCCCCATCCAAGTACTCACCAGGGCCGACCCTGCTTAGCTTCCGAGATCGGACGAGACAGGGCTAGCTTGGGCCATCTCTACCCTGACTTGGATGTTTCCAGCAGATCTCAGAAGCTAAGCAGGGTCGGCCCTGGTGAGTACTTGGATGGGAGGCCACCAAGGAAGTCCAGGGTTCCTACGCAGAGGCAGGCGATGACAAGCCACCTCTGTTCCATCTCTTGCCCTAACCTGGGTGGCCGAGGCTGGCCTGATTTCTTCTGAATCTACACAGGGCTGAGCCTGGTTAGTCCTTGGATGGGAGGCCACCAAGGAAGTCCAGGGTTCCTACGCAGAGGCAGGCAACGGCGAACCAGCCCTGTGTGTCCCTTGCCTTGGAAGCCCTGTGAGGAATTGACAGCAGTTTCCAGCATGACCACATGAGGTGTCCAAGGCTGCCTCCACAGACCAAGAGCTGATCTCCGAGTCCCCGGACGGCTCCCTCTGACCTTTTTCAAGGCCTCTCCAAATGCCCGTAATGGGGGACGAACAAATCTGCCGCTCTAGGCATTCTTCCCGAGTCTCCTCCCGCCAAGCAGCTCCGCTGGGCCCGGCCCTCCCCACCGACTTGAACATGACGTTTTTGTGCAAACCCCCAAAAAGGGAGATTTCAAGTATGTGCAAGCTTCTTAGTTGCATCTTTCGCACCCAACAACCCTGGCCCAAGAAAAGATTTTTCCCCCGCCTCTTCTCTCTTTCAGCAGTTAGTCAGACAGCCCATTTCTCCACACATTTTAAGGCCTTATAAGGCAAGTTGTGGAAGAGAAGGGCATTTTCTCCCCCCCAGAAAGACTGGAAGAGATTCTTAAGGTGGATCGGAGCACGGGGTCAGCCACTGTGTTTGAACAATGGCAAAAGTGGGGGAAATTGGGAACTGGGACACCGTCCGCCGTGCACAAACACACACAAAAGGTTGGTCTTATTGTCTTGGCAGGCAAGGTCAGGAGCAAAACAGATTTACTTCATAAAGAACCCAAGGGATTCAGCGCATTGGTTGGGGTTGTGGTGAGAGTTGAACAGGGGAGGCCCTGAATTCAAATCCTGCCTTCGACTGGGCAACCTCGGGCCGGTCAGTCTCTTGCTTACTTGTGACTGACCCAAGGTCACAACTGCAGCTGCGAGAAGAGGCGTGAGGAATCAAACCCGGTTCTCCCAGATTAGACCTGCCTCACAGGGCTGTCATTGGAAAAAAAACTTGGAGAAGAAGAGAAGAAGAAGAGATTGGATTTATACCCCACCCGTCACTACCCAAAGGAGTCTCAGAGCGGCTGACAATCACCTTTCCCTTCCCCTCCCCACAACAGACACCCTGTGAGGTAGGCGGGGCTGAGAGAGCTCTGACTGAGAACTGCTCTTTTTCAAGAACAGCTCTTATCAGAGCTACGGCTTGCCCAAGGTCATCCAGCAGCTGCAAGTGGAGGAGTGGGGAATCAAACCCGGTTCTTCCAGATTAGAGTCCGCGCACTTAACCACTACACCAAATTGGACAGAAGAAGAAGAGAAGAAGGGATTGGATTTATACCCCACCCTTCACTACCCAAAGGAGTCTCAGAGCCACTCCTTTCCCTTCCCCTCCCCACAACAGACACCCTGTGAGGTAGGCAGGGCTGAGAGAGCTCTTGAGAGGACTGCTCATGAGAGAACAGCTCTGAGAGAACTTGTGACTGACCCAAGGTCACACCAGCAGCTGCGAGAGAAGGCGTGGGGAATCAAACCTGGTTCTCCCAGATTAGAGGAGAACAGTGTGAAGTTGCTTTGGGGAGAAAGGCAGGGTATATAAATGAAGTGAATAAATCAATCAACTCCGCCCGCCTGGATTCCTTGAGCAGAGAAAGCTGCTGTTATCCAGACCACAGACTAAGCTAAACTATTGGAGATCGCTCACTAGGAGATACTTTTTTATCTGTTTCTGACATTTATATCCCACTTTGGGGAGAAAAGCGGGCTTCATATATCCAAAATGGATAAATGAATTAAATTAAATTAAAATGAAGTGGATTATAGCCAATGCTCCCTCTAAGCTGTGGAGTCTTGTGAGCAGAAATTATACCTTGTGAGCTACTGGAATTAAAGTTGTGAGCAAGCCATTTGGCTGCTGTGTAAATTAGTTTGCTCTGGAGCCGTCCTTCCCAAGTTAAGACAAAAATGTGTGAGTCGGAGGCTAAAAAACTTTGAGCTGGCTCACACTAACTCAGCTTAGAGGGAACACTGCTTACAGCATTATTCTCATCTTCTTTTAGGTAAAGGTAAAGGTTCCCTTGCTCGAAAGCCAGTCGAATCCGACTCTAGGGTTGCGGTGCTCATCTCCGTTTCAAAGCCGAAGAGCCAGTGCTGTCCGAAGACATTTCTGTGGTCATGTGGCCGGCATGACTAAACACCAAGGTGCACGGAACGCTGTTACCTTCCCACCGAAGTGGTACCTATTTATCTACTTGCAATTTCTTGCTTTCGAACTGCTAGGTTGGCAGGAGCTGGAACTAGAGACGGGAGCTCACCCCGTCTTGCGGCACCTGGGTCTCGAACTGCTGAACTACTTACCTTCCACAGCCTGCAGTTCAGCGTCTTAACCACTTGAGCCACCACAGCTCCTTCATCTTCTTTTACCCTCGCAATAACAACCCTATAAGGTAGGTCAGTCTGGAAGACAGCAACTGGCCCAAGGCCTCCCAGAGAGCTTCTACAGGAATGAGGACTCAAACTCGGCTCCCTCCTGTTGCTAGAGAGACTGTCTACCCACATCACCATGCTGACTCCGGGGCTCGACCGCGGGACCTTCAGCATGCAAAGCAGACGCTTTACCGCGCTGAGAAGTCTTGAATTGGGACTCCGCCTTTCTCGTTCTTTCTCCCTACACAACAGGGAAGGAAAGGAGTTCCGATTCTGCACAAGGACCCTTTCTGGCAGGGGAAAGACTGAGATGCAAATGGAACAGACAGAGGCAGGGCTATCTGACTCAAAAGCAGAGTCCAGTGGCACCTTGAAGACCAACAAAGGTTTATTCAAGGTATGAGCTTTTGTGTGCACGCACATGCTCTAGCTTTGTTCTACTGCTTCAGACCAACACAGCTGGCTACCTGGAACGAACTCAAACGCAGGACTTCTCCACTGCCGATAGGATATCCGAGGGCCGATTCAACCAGCTGGTATCTGAAAAGATCTTTCAATAGAGCAGGCCGGGGATTTTTGACTTCGAGCTGTCAGGGGACCAAAAACGGATCCCAGCTGTGCAGCGAGAGAGAAAAATCTGGATCCGATCTTTCCACATAGGAAGGAAGGGAAGGCACATTCCGTTCTAGAAGCGCTCATCCCACACTCACGTTCTGGAGCCAGCACAGACCTGATGGGTGGTCTGAACTGGGGGGGGGGGGAACCACAGCGATGCAAAAGATCGAGGACACAGCCAACGTGGAAGCGGCCGTTCCCAAGGAAGAGTTACGTCTCATTTTATCCGACGTTATTTATAAGTTCATCTAAGAGGTCGGGCTGCCAAACTCCAGGTGATTCAGTCAACCAATATATGCACTGCAAAAACCTTTTTTATAAATTAAAGTGTTCTATAAGTTCCATCTTATAAAGTCCATTGTGTATTATTCATAATATTCTGAAACAGGTATATATTCATTACATGCAATATCAACAATAATAATCAGTTTGTACAATCTAATAGCTACCAGTTGATTGTGTAAAAAGGATGTAAATTGACTGGTAGCTATTAGATTGTACAAACTGATTATTATTGTTGATATTGCATGTAGGGTTGCCAAGTGTGAAGTGGCGCTGGAGTGGGGAACTCCAGCGCTGCTCCGGAAGTGTGTGTGCGCGCGCAAAGCGCGCACGCGCCGCAACCACATCACCCGGAAGTGACACGACCACGCCAGGCACGCTGGGGGTGGGCCCACGACCATCCGAGGGAAAACCATAGAGTTTTCCCTCGGATGACCGTGCCCCCGCCCCCAGCGTGCCCGGTGTGGTCGCGTCACTTCTGGGGGACGTGCACATCGCATGCTTTGGGGGTGGGGTTCCCCCCGGGGCCCGATCTGCTGGCGGCGGGGAACGGGCCTCTGGGGCGGAGGTTTCCCCGCCCCCCGGGGGGACTTGGCAAGCCTAATTGCATGTAATGAATATATACCTGTTTTAGAATATTATGAATAATACACAACACACTTTATAAGATGGAACATATAGAACACTTTAACTTATAAAAAAGGTTTTTGCAGTGTATATATTCGTTGATTGACTCTACTAACACTGCAGCTCGAGTTTCCAAAACTCCAGGTGATGGCTGGAGATGTCCTGGGATTGCAACCGAGGTTGCCAGATGTCCCCTGAGCGCTGGCAGGAGATGGGGCTGTACGGTTGCCAGATCCAGGCTGAGAAACTCCCGGAGGTTTGGGGATGGAGCCTGGGGAGGACAGGGACCTCAGTGGGGTCTGATGCCACGGAGCCAACCCTCCAAAGCATCCCTTTTCTCCAGGGGAAATGATCTCTGTAGTCTGGAGAGGAGCTGGAATTCCAGGGGATCCCCAGGGCCCACCTGGAGGCTTGGCATCCCTAATTACAACTGATCTCCACGCCCGGACCTGGATAGCCCAGGCTAGCCCGATCCCGTCAGATCTCGGAAGCGAAGCAGGGTCGGCCCTGGCTAGTATTTGGATGGGTGACCTCCAAGGAATACCAGAGCTGTGACGCAGAGGCAGGCCATGGCAAACCACCTCCGGAACGTCTCTTGCCTTAAACACAAGTCTCGCTCGCCACCTAGAGGTGCATAACGCTAAAAGAGAGCCAGTTTGGTATAGTGGTTAAGTGTGCGGACTCTAATCTGGGAGAACCGGGTTTGATTCCCCACTCCTCCACTCGCAGCTGCTGGATGACCTTGGGCCAGTGACAAGTTCTCTCAGAGCTGTTCTCTCAAGGGAAGTTCTCAAGAGAGCTCTCTCAGCCCCACCGACCTCACAGGGTGTCTGTTGTGGGGCGGGGAAGGGAAAGGAGTTTGTAAGCCGCTCTGTTGTGGGGCGGGGAAGGGAAAGGAGTTTGTAAGCCACTCTGAGACTCCGATACATAATAGTTTTGGAAAAGTTGATAAAAGCACGGGACAATTTCTTGGAGCACGTGCAGAGTGCAATTCATAATGGTTGTTTTTTTAAAAAAATCTATCTATCTATCTATCTATCTATATATATATATATATATGTATTGCATTTATTATAACTGTATTTATAACTTGTTTTGAACCACCCTGAGCCCCAAATTGGGGGGCGGGTGGTATATAAATTTAATTAATAAATAAATAAATCCAATCTCCTCCTCCTCCTCTTCTAGCCAGAACTTCTGGCTGCCAGGCAATCTTAGGGTCTCCTGGTTATTCTATACACAATGCCATAAGATAATGATTAATTAATTATTATTATGACTGATCTCCACATGACAAGAAATCAGTCCCCCTGGAGAAAATGACTGCTTTGGAGGCGGACTCATATGGCATTAGACCTCACTGAAGCCCCTCCCCTCCCCGAACCCCGCCCTCTTCAGGCTCCACCCCCAAAATCTCCAGACATTTTATTGTTGTTGTGATGAATTGTTATTAATGTTTTTATTGTTTTAACCTTGTTTTATATAGGCGTTGCCCCTTGTAAGCCGCCCTGAGCCTGCTTTGCGGGGAGGGCGGGGTAAAAATCCCAATAAATAAATAAATAAATAAATAAATATTTCCCAATCCGGAGCTCGCAACCTTAAAGCAATGACACAGGATTAGGATTCTAGCCAGAACAAAACAGATGTGATAACACAAAGAAGCCGCAGGGAGATTTTCACACCTAACATGAACCCGGCTTCACAGCTTCTGTTGCAAATGTATACTCCAGGAAGACAAACACTGGATTTTTTGCAGGGAACCTTCAAATATTGTCAGGGGAGGTGGCTAATTGCCCTTCAGGGCACACAAGTTCATTTATCTTTTCTCGACTTAAAAAAAAAATCAGTCGCAAAACAGCTCTGCTGATTTTTATGTGTACACATGTGGATGACAGTACAGGTATTAGCCAATACACCCCCGCACCAACGGCTATTCCCCCAGTTTGAGTTGTCCAGGCCTGAAAACTCGAAGAACCGGTTTGTCAGAGCTCAGGTATGGACAGAAAGGGAATTTTGAAGGAACGCCTCCTGCATTTAATGATCTGTTTTCACTGTTCGTTATTTTTCCTTGCAAGGAGAACTCTTGTTTCAGTTTCAGTTCAAATATACCAACAGTCTAAAAGAGACGGCCCTAAATGCCATTAAAGAGGCGGTACAGCCAGTTAGTTAATCAGTTGCCTGCAGAATGAGTCAAGGAGGTTAAGCAGGATAATTTTATGCCGTTCTGCGTTTATATGTATGGGCTGATCGTCCCGATCTAATCTACCCAGGCCAAACAAGTGCAGCAATGTCAGAGCCGGAAACCCAAAATCTCTTACCAACTGGTTGTTTTCAAAGACGTTTTCTTTGCTCAGAGCGTTGAAGTTGCTGAAGCACAAAAACAAGAGAGAGAGAAATGCTTTTAGCAAAAAAAATACGCATCCAATCGGACCATTTCACGTCCACGTCCCCCTCCTTCAACCCCACCAATCAGAAGTTAAAGATGCAACTTACTTCATTGATTTACTTCATTTCTTGCTCACTGTTCTTCCCAACATCCTTCTCCTCGCCGTTGTTTTCTTCCCACAACAACCCTGCGAGTCTTGTCCCTAACAAAGGGGTCCCACCCCATCGCACCACAATCAAAGATATTCTGTGGCCCAAAGCAGCTTACATCTTTCTCACCTCCAGTTTCCGCTCACCACAACCCTGTGAGGTAGGCTAGTCTTCTTGCTAACGAAGAGGTCCCACCGTTGCCCCCCAATCAAACATATTCTACGTCCTGGCATATTTATTAACTTCATATCGTGTTATATAAAAGTGCTAGTTTGGTGTAGTGGTCAAATGCCAGTTTGGGTGTAGTGGTTAAGTGCGTGGACTCCAATCTGGGAGAACCGGGTTTGATTCCCCACTCCTCCACATGCAGCTGCTGGTGTGACCTTGGGTCAGCCGCAAGTTCTCTCAGAGCTGCTGTCTCAAAAAACCTAGTTGAAACTTACAATATACAAAAACACATGTATTTATTAGAAAGACAGTAAAAAAACCTATAAGGGCCCAATGAAAGCCTCGTAAAAAAAGTTCAAGTGGCCTCAACACCCGGGCCGAGACACGTGACCTGACGCGTTTCCGCCCAACTGGGGGCCTTCTTCAAAGTCTCCCATCTGGGTAGGGTTGCCAGGCCTTACCTGGCTGCCGGAGGCGGGGAGGGTCCCTCTCTTGCTCTGGGAGTCCTTTGGCACGCGAGCTTCGCGTGCACACCGCAATGACGTCACCTGGAAGTGACCTCATTGCACAAGGCATGTTGTGGGGGGGACGCTCTATCGTTTGAGGGGAAACTCTATGGTAACCACAGAGGTTTTCCCTCGAATGATAGAGCGTCCCCCTCGCAACATGCCCTGTGCGATTATGTCGCTTCCGGGTGACATCACTACGCTGAGCATGTTGGCCCAAACGTGGCACTTTGGAGGCAGGGCTCCCCCCCCCCCCGCCGGCCGGATCTGGGCTGGCAGATTGGGGGCCATGAAAGCAGGCAACCCCTGCCCCGGTGGGGGAGTGGCAACCCTCCATCCCAGCATTGCTCATATCCCGATCTGCTTCACTTTAGGAAGATTTCCTCCATATTTTGGCCTGGAAAGGCACCAGAAATCCTGCTGTCGCTACCCGCCAACCGCAGTCCCTCCCACCTCCGGGAGATAAGTTCTGTGTACACCCAAGAACCACGATAAGCCCAGAACAACCACAAACGGTTTAAGACTGAGACTGGCCCGGAGCCTAATCCCAGATGCTACAAAAGAGGCCGACTGTCCACAGGGGGGAAATCCTTGGGCTGGAAAGATCCGGACAGAAGCGAATCGGCCTTTCCCATGAAGTCTTTCAAGGTATGACTCAGCACCGCTGCAGGATTTCAAAAGGTGTCTTCTCCCAAGACTTCCCCGTCGGGCAACAGAGAAAGAGAGGAGGGAGCCGCAGAGAGAGCGCCCCTTTGGTCTCTGCTTCCCCGAGGCCAGGCGCGAGACGCCAGTTTTAAAAATAACCCTGCCTCCATGTCAAAAGCTTCGTCACGCTTTCTCGTTCTTTTCTCCTTTCCCACTGAGTCCCACTCCTATTTACAGAAAACTCTGTTAATTTTTCCCTCTCCCCTAGTATGGAGATTGAAAAGCAGCGTGGGGTAGTGGTCGGAGTGTCAAGCTATGATCCCAAAGTCCCAGGTTCGAATCTCTGCTCTGCCACCGAAGCTCACTGGGGGAACTTGGGGCCAGTCGCATGTCCTCAGCCTAACCTCCCTCACAATGTTCCCTCTAAGCTGTGGAGTCTTGTGAGCAAAAATTCTACGTTGTGAGCTACTGGCATTAAAGCTGTGAGTGAGCAATTTGGCTACTGTATAAATTAGTTTGCTCTGGAGCCATCCTTCCAGAGCTAAGATAACAATGTGTGAGATGGGGGCTAAAAAACTGCGCTAGCTCACACTGACTCAGCTTAGGTCCCTGCCACACGGCAGAAAAAAACACGGGCAAAGTGCGGCTATTCAGAGCCGCACCAAAAGAAACACGCGGAGGCGGGATCACATAGATCCCCTGAGCCGCTGTGCCGTTGCTCCCCGGCACAATCAGATGCTGGGGAGGAAGCCACCGACCGGAGACCGAGACAGCCGGCTGCGCATGTGTGCGCATGCGCAGTTCGGCCAGGAGCCTCGGATGCGCCGGCAGAAGGACGCGCCGGCGATCCCACGGCCGTGCTTGATGCGGCCTTTCTGGTAAGTCCACCTCTGAAGGTGGTTTCTTTTAACTACAGATTTTCAGCCTGAAGGGCCGGATCGGGGACAGGGACGCAACGCTTCCCAGATGGTGCAGTGGGATCGCGCCCGTTTGCTGTGCCCCCGATCCGTCCCTCTTCCGGCCCTAAACCTCCCGTGTGACCAGGGCCTTAGAGGGAGCACTGTCACAGCCGAACAAAGTTCGAGTCCAGCGGCACCTCTAAGACCAACAAAGTTTTATTCAAGGTATAAGCTTTCGCATGCACGTACCTGAAGAAGTGTGCACACACACGAAAGCTTACGCCTTGAATAAAAATTGGTTCGTCTTAAAGATGCTGCTGGAGTCGAACTCTGTTCGGGTGCTTCAGACCAACACAGCTACCCAGCCGAATCTATCTCCCTTGCAGGGTTGTTCTGAGGACAAAAGAGAGGTGGGAAGAAGGAAACTGTTTTGGGTCCCACTTGGAGAGAAAGACTGGGTATAAATGAAACAGACAGACAGACAAATAAATAAATAAGGGGCTGGAGTATTTCCCAAGGGGCAGCTGTGTTAATCTGGGGCAGCAAAAATAAGCCAAAGTTTAGTGGCACCGAAAAAAACAATTGGTTTTTTCTTAACAGAAGCTTGTGTGGACTAGAGTCCACTTCATCGGATGTATGAAGTGACCCTCACTAGGTGTGGGTATGTATATGTACATGTGTGTATATATAAAAATTACAAAATAAAAAAAATTACAAACAGACTCAAGGGGTCATTTAATTCTTTAAAATTCTAACGGAACCAAGAAAAGGGACAGAGAGCACTGAAAGTAGCAATTTATTGGCCGTCTGCCCTGTTTTGCTAAGGCAGGACTGAGGCACATTTCCCCCCATTTCTGTGAGTTCTTTTCTCTGGGTATGATAGAAAGACTTCCGAAATGGTAGCGCAATTTATTTTGATGGCACTAAAACTTCATGATGGATCTCTAACTCGATAGGCTGACGTTTGCATGGAGTTTAATTTTGATTTTTCTATTTGGCGGATGTGATTCTTTTATTGTGCAAGGGTATGTTAAAATAATGGCATTATTATTGTGTGAAATGTTTTTTTAAGCTCTTGATTTGTGCTGGCGTTTGGAATTTAGTTTGCACTGGGCGAACCAGTTGGTAAATGTCTAATGAAGTGCTGCGCTTTCTATTTTATGGAGAATAAAGAAAGCGAGCGGGGTTCAACAGCTTCAAGGGCAGAGGAACACGGTTGGAAAAGAAAGTTGGCGACCTTCATTGATTACATCCAATGAGTCTCTGGATTCCATGCATACAAGCAGAAAAAGAGACTGTTCAAATGCCAGAGAGACAGTTTTAAAAGTGGGGGAAGAGGCCAAGCCCGGACAGAGTCACCAACTTTTTATTGCACCCTGCTCTTGTGCCTTTAAGGACCACGTGCTCTGCAGGCACTGAGCAAGTGCCTACACTCACCTTTGTTTTGGGGGAAGCATGAACTGTTGATTTTAAAAGGTGAAGAAGCTGAGAGAGCTCTTCCTAGGACTGCCCTTGAGAGAACAGCCCTAAGAGAACTTGTGACTGACCCAAGGTCTCTCCAGCAGCTGCATGTGAAGGAGTGGGGAATCAAACCCGGCTCTCCCAGATTAGAGTCCACGCTCTTAACCACTACACCAAACTGAGAACCAGTTTGGTGCAGCGGCAGGCCAAGACAGCTTTCGCAGGTGAGTTGGCAACCATATGGTCTCGAATCCTGAAACCTCATTTGCTTGGCGTTCCTGAATACCGAAGGGGAAAAAATTATTTTGAAATGGGTCAATCCCACCTCAAATACTTAGGGGGGGTTTCATACCACCCAGGCAGCTGAAACTTCAGAAAGGTTTGGCCCGACAGATTTACTTCCTAATTGCAATCAGGACTGAGCAAATCAGGTTGCCAACCTCCCTGTGTGGGCTGGAGATCTCCAGGTATCGCAACTGATCTCTGGACAACACACCACACTGCTTCTTCATTAAGTATTTATTTACTGAAAACATGTATTCTGCTTTTCCTGGAGAAAACGGCTGCTTTGGAAGATAGGCGGTGTGGCATTATACCCAATGCTCCCTCTAAGCTGTGGAGTCTTGCGAGCAAAAATTCTACTTTGTGAGCTACTGGCATTAAAGTGGTGAGCGAGCGATTTGGCTGCGGCATAAATTCGTTTGCTCTGGAGCCATCCTTCCTGAGCTAAAGACAAAAATGTGTGAGCCGGAGACTAAAAGACTGTGAGCTAGCTCACACTAACTCCACTTAGAGAAAACACTGATTATACCCTACCGAAGTCCCCTCCCCTCCATAACCCTCACCCTCCCAAGCTCTACCTTCAAATCTCCAGGACTTTCTGAACCCAGAGATGGCAACCCTGTGATCAAGCCATGTCTATTGGTAGTCAGGAACCTAGGCCATTGGTTGTAGAATGCACGGTCTCGAACCCTCGACCTTTGGACCGGGTTGAGTCAGTTGATTAACTCTGGCCGACATCCCAGGCAATAAAAGGCTCTGGCACTGCCGCAAGTAAGAGACCGCACCTGTCTCTGGCTGGTTTCCAAAAGCACGGCCTCCACGGGCTGGGGGAAAGCTACACCTGTTGAGTTTCTTCTGTTCTGAGGGGTTC